GATCAGCTGGTCATTGCTCGGTTGTGATAGAGAAATATAAGTATAAATTCTTCTTCTGCACCAATCAGAGAGGTCCATCCCCACTGGCCATTACTGTGCTGAGGCACAGGATATTCAGGCTGTTTGAATTACATGAGGATGACAAGGGTTACAATAACTAGAAGGTATGGGTCAGAAGAATATTGCATGTTCCTCATCCCTGTTCTGGTTTTTGACTGGCTTTGGCTCGTTGTTCCTATCTCCAAAATATTTAGTTGAGTTGAAGGTAAATGCAAAAATTAACCATAAAGAGAGAAAGATGTTATTTAAAAATGTGGAAAAAATTAGTAAAAGTGGGTGGAATTATGTCTGATATTTCATGAAGGGTTAACAAAGCACAGGTGAGATTCAAGTAAATGTGCTGTTAGGGCATGTCCTGTAGATGGATAAGTAGGCCGTTTGATCCCTCGAGCCTACTGCACCATCCATTATGATCATGGCTGAATACGAATCTCTGTACGCTAATCCCATCATATACCCATTTCCCTTCATCCCTTTAGCCATGAGCTAAAATCACCTCCTTAAAAACGCACAATGGTTTGGCCTCAACCACTTTTCAGGCTCACCACTCTGGGCGCAGAAATGTCTCCACTTGTCAGTCCTAAAAAGTTTCCCCTTATCCTTAAACTATGACCCCTTGTTCTGCATTCCCCCACCATGGGGAACATCCTTCCTGCATCTGACCTGTCTATTCCTGTCAGAATTTTATAGGTTTCTATGGGATCCCCTTCTCTCTCTCTCCTTCTCCTACACCAACACCCCCCATTACTCTAAATTCCAGTGAATACAGTTCTAACTGACTCAATCTCTCCTTCTACATCAGTCCTATCATCCTAGGAATTAATTTGGTAAACCTTCATTGCACTGTCTGTATAGCAAGAACAGCATTCCTCAAAGAAGGAGACAAAAACTGCACACAATATTCCAGATGTGGCCTCCCCAGTACCCTGTGTAAATGCTGCAAGACCATGTGATCTGAAAAGCAGAGAAGAAGGGCACATTGCTGGACCTGCAGCAGTCTGAGTTAATGGTATTGCTCTCATTTTATAGAGGATGGAACATTGGGATCTGCAATAAAATTAATGGATGGTAATATACCTCCCAGCTTCAGATCATCATAAATCATCAGTTTTGCTCCGCAACATCTGATTCCTTCATTGAATTACGGTTTCATTACTAATTCCCAGGCAGCCGTCATTTTAACATATGGAGATAAGCCAGTCAGTTTTACGAGTCTGTATATTCAATCTCTATCGTATATCATCCTGGCAAAACTGTAGTCTGGGTTGTATCATTATGCATGATATCAGTGAATATTCCCAGCAGCATAAAACATCTTCGACTGAGATGAGGCAACACTGTGGAGCTGGAGGAACACAGCAGGCCAGGCAGCATCAGAGGAGCAGGAAAATTGACGTTTCGGGTTGGGAGAAGGGTCCTGACCCGAAACATCAACTTTCCTGCTCCTCTGCTGCCTGGCCTGCTGTGTTCTTCCACCTCCACACTGTGTTGTCTCTGACTCCAGCATCTGCAGTTCTTGCAATTCTTAAGGCTGAGATGATGTTTGATTAGGGCAAGCTGGCCTCCATAATTTGACCTAACTGGCCATTCTTTGTGAGTGACTTCCAACCAGACCTGTGGGATATAGGAAGATATTTGAGCTCAACTGAAAATTTCCTTTGTCTCCAAAATGTATGCCTATCATACGCGATTTCTAGGAGGGGGAATAAACTTGGATAAAGATCACAATTAAGAATCCCAATTAATTTGTTTTCCATATGTGGGTTCAGGATAACAACAAGCTGGGTAGATAGGTCGAACATCAAAATCGTAATATACCATTTGGTTTTTTTCTTGGAAGTTTCTATTTTTCCACTGCTCCAACCATTGTACCTTTGTAGTTAACGTGCATCATTCTGCTCCCTTCAGCCTGAAGCAAAGATGAAATAGTGCCAGCTCTGTGCCACTTTGCTCCTGAAGTTGCATTTGTAGTTCACCTATTATCTGAGGTCAGAACCAATCAACTATGGTCCATTTGTGACATCTCAGTTGGACTGCCTGGCTTGTGTATGGAGCTTTTTTGTATGGATGTCTGGTGACATGCATGCTGTGCTTTCTGCTGTTAAATTTAACAGGTATTTATTTCCATTCTAAATTTTTTAGCATGAAGCAGATGCAGTCCAAGTGGTGTGAATCTGTCTGTTTGGGCTGGTCTCTTATCTCCACTGTTGTACTCTGTGGCAGTATTAGTGTTACAACGCAGAAAACTGATGAAATTGGATTGTAAAAACTTTTGAAGATGTCTAGCAAGTGACGGTCCTTCATTTAAAAAAGCAATTATGGCATTGTGCACTTAATGTTTCTGCATCACATTATGCAAGTTCAAATCATTACTGTCCCAAGCAATGTAAACATCTTTCAATTGTGCACCACGAGTGAGAACCCACATTAGCGCAGCACTGGCAAAGATTGGGGGTTCTGTGTACTCCCAATGTGCGTTGTTATCAGGTTCTGTACCCTGGAAACCTATTGATGGGCAATTCAGAGCATTATGAATGATGCAGTCTCACTTAAACACCTAGTGTAAAATCTGATCACGTTAATGGTACACAATGATCATTGTGTCAACTTGGTTCAATTGATAGTGCCCTTCTCTCTGGAACAGGAAAATCAAGGTTTGTAACATGGTGATCTGTTGAGAGTTGAATGCATAACTAGAGGCCGTTCCTTATTATTGAACTATTATTCTTTAGTCAGGACTCGAAACTAGAGTTTACCTTCTCCTTCCAGTTGATTAGATATTGAGGATCTCTCAATGTTACTTGAAGTATAAGGAGCCCTCATGATGTCTTGAAGTATGTTCCTCCTTCAACCAGCATTACCAAAAAGTCAGTCATCTCCTTTCAGCTTTGAATATCAGGCAGAATTGCTGCTCTGTTTACCTGCAACACCATCCATGCATCTCAAAACAATGCATAGTATTTGAAATGGTTGGAATAATTGAGATACTCGGATACTATAAATGCAAACATTTTGTTTTTCATTATGTGACATTTGATGTTCAGGCCACAATTGTTATGGATCCAAAAGAAATTGAAAGCAATCAAATAAAGGAGATGAAAATCTGAAAGATACTTAAGTGTAATGCACATAAATACAAAAGCAATAATGTTTTATTGTACATTTTGACATCTACAAATGCTTAGCAAAGATTACTTGGAATAATATCTTAAAACACTATCTGATTAAAATTCAATTTAAAATGAAGATGGGTAGCCTGCTGTGAATGTAAGAAGGAAAATTAATTTTTAATGTGTTTCATTGATTTTTAATCTGTGTTAAGGGATTTGAAAGCTGATTTTGCTCAGATCAACATTTCTCATTTGTGGCATGTTCATGGGTCACGGCATGACTGACAGCTGGTGCAAATGTGTTTTTAAGAAAACTCTGAAGGGTGCTGTCTCTTTAATCACTCTGTGTGATTGCTGAACATGCAAATGCAGTAAAGAATTATAAGCATGTAAAACCACAACATTAAATCCTTGACTAAAGCCAAAATATTGTGGAAGCTGGAAAAACTCAGCAGGCCTGGGAGCTTCTGTGGAGAGAGAAGCAGAGTTGATGCTTCTGAAGGCGGTTCATGCAGACTTGAAATGCTAGCTCTGTTTCTCCTTCTGCAGAAGCTGCCAGACCTGCTGAGTTTCTCCAGCATTCCCTATGTTTGTCACAAGATTAAAACTATTGACTCAATAGTTTTAGGTAGAACGATGCAGCATATTTATGTTTGACCATATGTGCATGACGTAGAAGGCAGTGCTAAACTAAATGCTAGCAGTGCCCTGAAGTCCAGTCTTACTTGGTCATGATATTTGCTGTATGACCATTCTGCACAATTTAATACAATATTTGGTAAAGACAAAATGCCAGTCACTAAAAGAAAAGGCATTTAACAAGAAATGATGCCAGTTCCAAGCACATGAAGAATTTGTGATGTGGTTGTAGCCTCATGCAGGGATGGTCTTGTTTCACCACTGATCCGCTTGTCCCACTGAGCTCCTTAGAATAGGGGCTTTTGTGTGGTCGTGCTATGAGATCATGGAAAAATATGCTCAAATGACTACTGTCCTTCTAATTGCATCCGTCCATCCAGGACCTCAAGCTGTTTAACTGCCTAGGAATTGTGCCCAAGAAGCAGCTGGTGGTCCCGCTCAATCAACGGTCACTCTTTCAAAATATACTGGAAATGATTCTGTTCTGAAGTGGGGTTTTTTTGGAATAGGACTCTCCCACCTCATTTCTTTATTTTTCCTGCTGCTGGCTGAGCTAGGTTCACAAGCAGTTTACTCTGTGCCTGGATGACAGTGATATAGTCTGTTTCCTGTGGAAATGGTTTGATTTCCTCTTGGGTGCCCGTCACCTCAGTTTGAAGCTTTCCTCCCCAGCTCCAGCCATTGCTGTAGAGTTGCTTGGTGAGGTACAGCAACATATTATTCCCTCTCTGCCTTCCTGTTCACAGCAATGTTGCTGAATGCATAGGAAAACCCACTCAAGGGATGACAATAAACCTTGACAAAGTATAAACTTTTTTCTGTATCAAGATGCAGCAGGTGCAGAAGTACTTTGAGCATTATCCTGGATGGAATGCTTTTAATTATCTCTTCAGAATTGCAATTAACAGTGACAGAAATAGCCACCAATTGATCTCTCTTTTAGGCATAATGGTCCATCCAGCCAGTCCCAAGTTTGACAGAATATAATTTAAATTAACCTGCAGTTTTGTTCACTCTTAAAATATGCAAAAAAGATCACTACTTAATTATTTCTTCCTTAACCCCTAGTGATGACAGTGTTACCAACAGGGTCACAGTCTATTTAGGTGGCTTTCCATTTTAAAATAAATTATCCATCAGTGGCATTATTAGAGGCATTAGCTAAGTCATACTGTTCTGATTATTGCATAGGATGAAATGGTCGCTAGCTTGGGCCTTTCCACCAAACAGGCTCTGACAGTACTGCATAACCAGCTCTCGGTAATCCTGGAAGAGCACCAGAAGCAGCAGATAAAGAAGGGCTCTTGGAAGGTAGGGACATACTGAAAATTCTCGCCATCCTTCATTGTTTTTGACTGGCCTTTCATAAACTTAGGCTCCTTCAAAATCCTACTGTCTGTATCCTAATTTTTATTTGCTAAACTGCATTGGTTCCATGTTTACCAAGCCCAATATTTAAAATTCTCATTCTTGTGTTCAAATGCATCTATTGCCTCGCACCTCTCTCTCTCTCTTTGTAACCCCACACTCCAAGCTTGAAACCCTTTGGGAATTCAATATGCCTCTAGCTCTGGCTGCCTTGTTCACCTGCGTTTTCCTTCTTCCCACTATTGGTGGCTGTGCCTTCAGTTTAAACCCTAAACTCTGGAATTATCTTTATCAATGTCTCCACCTCCGTTTTAAGACGTTTTTTTAAATCTACCTGTATGGCACTGTGATGTCTTTTACTGTTACATTTTTCTGCTGTCCTTTTCAAAGGAACCTTAACAGACTAGAAAATCTGTGCTCAATGGTGAAAGCAATTTGAAAGAACTGGGCAATGAACTGGCAATGTTGTCCTGGATTACACTGCAGCCATGACACTGGGGGGTGGTGATAGTTTCACTGCTTAGCTAGAATTAGGTGCCCTATTTCATTAGATATTTTGAAATGAATTGAAGCCACGCATCACTCCAGCCTCTATTCAAAGGACATTCATAAAAGACTCTTGAGCCCCTCATTTCAGATCTTTGTCTGATATTTCACAGATAATGCAATGGAAAACTTTAAATTATTCCCCAGGGTAAATATGTTTCTGTTTTATAATTTCATGTTCTTTATCTTCCTGCTTAGCTAATCATTTAGTCCCACAGGTGATTAAAAGTATTAACTGTGGAAACAAAACTTGTATCTCTGTGTGTGGTGTCGTGTGCGAATCTGTTCTGTCGGGACTTATTGTGTGATGTGTTTGTGTGTTATCAATTGCCATCTGACTACACTGATCTTATTGTAGGATGTATGGTTTAAGGGTTTCCTCAACCTCAGTAACCGATCCTCCAGCTTCCACTGGCCTGGAGCAGCTCTTATGCTGATGGCTGCCATTTTGTTGCTGTGTTGCTTTGGAAGCCAACCAGATGGAAGGTAAGTGACATGTCATGTGTAAAACTAATGGCTAGACAAAATGTAGTGAGTGCATGCATTTGATGGATATGAAAGTGCCTAAATCCACAATTTATGCAAACTTAATTTAGATTGTAACTCATTTGTTTAAAGAGGAATCACTAGTTTTAAAATGTGTATTTATAAAGTTTAAGCAGGCTTATTTTCAAGATGTGCGTTGTAAGAGTAGCATAATTAAGAACTGGTTGAAACTGGACCCTCATTAGATGAGTGAACTGGGCCCTTTGTGTTGGAAACATAAATAGCCAAACTAGTATAACTTAGAATAGAGTACAGAAGTTGAGTCTCGAGTTCAGTGGAGGAAGGAGAGAGGTGTTTGATTTTTGCTGCAGCTGGTTGGTGACTATTTCTGGTCTTTAAAATAAACTTAAGGCCTTCAGTCTGTTCAGGTCTCCGAGCTTTCTTCACGTTTTTGGAAAAGAAAATTTTTTGGTATATGATCAATATGTAATGAATTTAAAAAAAGGAAGTAATGTAATAAACTACAAATTGCAGGTGCACTGGACTGATTTTTAAAAGCTGCTGGACTCCAGTGTGATCCACATCTATCAAGAGTGTTTGCAGCATTAGCAACTTCAGATGAGTTGAGGATTTGGAGTCAGAGCTGCAAACATTGTGCCACATCAGGGAGGGGGAGAGTGACCTGAACTCTTTGCTCCAGGAGGCAGTCACCCTCTTTAAATGAGGAGCGGGAGGGGAGGGATCTAGCCGTTGTCCTCCACATAGAACATAGAACAGTACAGGCCCTTTGGCCCATGATGTTGTGCCGTCCTGTTATCTTACTAAGATCAAACTAACCTGCAAATCCTACATTATTACTATCACCCATGTGCCTATCCAAGAGTCGCTTAAAAGTCTCTAAAGTATCTGTAAAGTAAAAAATAAAGTTTTTTTTTCTAAAGTATCTGACTCCACAACCACTGCCGGCAACACATACCACACGCCCACCAATCTCTGTATAAAGAACCTACCTCTGACATCTCCCCTTTACCTTCCTCCAGTCACCTTAAAAGTATGTTCCCTCGTAATAGTCATTTCCACCTTGGGAAAAAGTCTCTGGCTATCCACTCTATCTATGCCTCTCATCATCTTGTACACCTTAATCAAGTCACCTCTCATCCTACTTCACTCCAATGAAAAAAGCTCTAGCTCCCTCAACCTTTCCTTATAAGACCTGCCTTCCAGTCCAGGCAGCATCCTGGTAAATCTCCTCTACATCCTCTCTCATGCTTCCACATCCATCCTATAATGAGGTGACCAGAACTGAACACAATTTTCCAAGTGTGGTCTGACCAATGTTTTATAGAGCTGCAGCATAACCTCGTGGCTCTTAAACTCAATTCCCCTGGCAATGAAAGCTAACACACCATACGCCTTCTTTACAACCCTATCAACTAAGGTAGCAACTTTCAGGTATCTATGGACGTCGATCCCAAGATCCCTCTGTTCCTCCACCCTGCCAGGAATCCTGCCATTAACCCTGTATTCTGCATTCAAATTCGACCTTCCAGAATGAATCACTTCACCCTTTTCTGGGTTGAATCCCATCTGCCACTTCTTTGCCCAGCTCTGCATCCTGTCAATGTCCCGTTGCAACCTACAACAACCTTCCAAGCTGTCCAGAACTCCACCAACCTTTGTGTCATCGGCAAACTTACTAACCTACCCTTCCACTTCCTGATCCAAGTCATTTATAAAGATCACAAAGAGCAGAGGTCCCAGAACAGATCCCTGCGGAACACCACTGGTCACTGAGCTCTAGGCTGAATACTTTCCATCTACTGCCACCCTCTGTCTTCTATTGGACAGCCAGTTTTGTATCCAGACAGCCAAATTTCCCTGAATCCCATGCCTCCTTACTTTCTGAATGAGCCTACCATGTGGAACCTTATCAAATGCCTTGCTAAAATCCATATACAGCTCATCCACTGCTTTACCTTCATCAATGTGTTTTGTCGCATCCTCAAAGAACTCAATAAGGCTTGTGAGGCATGACCTGCCCCTCTCAAAGCCATGCTGACTATTTATAATCAAACTGGGCTTTTCCAAATAATCATAAATATTATCTCTCAGAATCCTCTCCAGTAATTTGCCCACCACAGAAGTAAGACTGACCGGTCTGTAATTCCCAGGATTATCTCTATTCCCTTTCTTGAACAAGGGAATGACATTTGTCACCCTCCAATCATCTGGTACTACTCCAGTGGACAGTGAGGACAGAAAGATCATTGCCAAAGGGGCAGCAATCTCTTCCCTCGCATCCCATAGAAACCTTGGGTATGCTCAGGGGACTTATCTATCCACCTGTTGTTCAAAATTTCTAGCACATCCTCCTTCCTAATAACAACCTGTTCAAGCATATCTGGCTGTTTCACGCTGCCCTCACAAATGTCAAGGTCCCTCTCGCTGGTGAATACTGAAGCAAAGTATTCATTAAGGACCTTCCCTACCTCCTCTGACTCCGTGCACAAGCTCCCTCCACGATTCCTGATTGGCCGTACCCTCACTCTGGTCATCCTCTTGTTCCTCACATAAACATAGAATGCCTTGGGGTTTTCCTTGATCCTGCCCGCCAACGTTTTTTCATACCCCTCTCTAGCTCTCCTAAGTCCATTCTTCAGCTCCTTCCTGGCTACTTTGTAGATCTCTAGAGCCCTGTCTGACCCTTGCTTCCTCAACCTTAAGTATGCTTCCTCCTTCTTCTTGACTAGATATTCCATATGCCTTGTCATCCAAGATTCCTTCACCTTGCCATCCCTTCCTTGCCTCAGTGGGACAAACCTATCCAGTACTTGTAGCAACTGCTCCCAAAACAACCTCCTCATTTCTGTATTTCCCTGAGAACATCTGATCCCAACTTAGGCTCCACAGTTCTTGCCTAATAGCATCATAATTTCCCCTCCCCCAATTAAATACTTTCCCATACCGTCTGCTCCTATCCCTCTCCATGACTATATAAAAGGGCAAGGAGTTGTGATTACTATCACCGAAATTCTCTCCCACCGAGAGATCTGACACATGGCCTGGTTCGTTGCCAAGCACCAAATCCAATATGGCCTCCCCTCGAGTTGGCCCATCTACATATTGAGTCAGAAATCCTTCCTGGGCACGCCTGACAAAATCTGCTTCACCCAAACTAGTTGCACTTAGGATGTTCCAGTCTATATTGGGGAAATTGAAGTCACCCATGACAACAGCCCTATTACTTCTGCACCTCTCCACAATCTGTGCCTCAGTGTTTCTGTTGCTATTGGGGGGTCTATAGAAAACTCCCAATCAGTGACTGCTCCTTTCTTGTTTCTGACTTCCACCCATACTGACTCAGTGGACAAACCCTCCTCCACAACCTCCCTTTCTGCAGCTGTGATACCATAGTAACCAATGTGACTACCACATTAGTAGTAAGGACATTCATAGGACTGGAAAGAAAGTTGCTGCTGAAAGATTTTGATCAGCCAGAAGTAGAATATCTCAGGATTGATACCTTGGCCATTGGCAGTTTGGCACAGGATGAATAAAATGACAAAGTTAAGGATTGGTGTGGGAGGAATGGGTTTCACTTCATGGGGCATTGGTACCAGAACTGGGGTGGAAGGGAGTTATTCGGTCAGACAAGCTTCACTTGAACCATGCTGAGGCCATCCTAGTGAATCAAATAACTAGGGCTGTAGAGTGTGTTTAAAACTAATTGGAGGGAGGATTCAGAAGTGGAAGTATAGGTTTGCCAATCAAAATATGGTGGAAAATAAACTGAGGACAAACTAGCAAGTAACACAATACAGTTGGAACTTCTATAACTATATTAAAAAGGAAGAGAGGCAACCAGTGAACATAGGCCCCTTAGAGAACAAGGCTGGGGAAACAATGGGGAGCCAGGAAATGGCAGAACTGTTGAACAAGTACTTGTATCAGTTTTAATGTTGGAGGATACTAAATCAAGAGGCTAAAAGGCAGGAGGAAATAAATTGCCGGAGGAAAAGGACGAGGAAGGCTAATGGGCTCAAAGCCAGTAAACTGTCTAGACTTCATGGGTTGCATCCTAGGATTTTAGAGGAAGTAGCTGCAGAGACAGTGGACGTACTCCTAATAGTGTTCCAAGAATCCTTAGATTCTGTAAAAGTCCCAGAGAATTAGAAAACTGCCAATATAATACCCTTATTCAAAAAGGGAGAGAGACAAAAAACAGGCAGCTAAAGGCCATTAGCTTACGCCTGTCACTAGGAAAACTTTAAAGATGTCATAGCAGAGTATTTAGAAATACATAAGCAGAGTCAATGTGACCCATGAAGGGGAAATCATGTCTGACAAATTTATTGCAGTTTCTTGATGTGATAACAAGAAGAGTATGTCAAAGGGAACCAATAGATGTAATATATTTGGATTTTCAAAAGGCACTTTAAGGTACTGTACATAAAGCTATTTAATAAAGTAACTACCCATGGTTTTGAGGATAATAAATTAACGTGGACAGAGAGTTGGCTAACTAATAAAAGTCACAGTTGCGATAAGGGGGCCATTTTCTGGTTGGCAACCTATAACTAGAGGAGTCCACAGGGATCAGTGCTGGGTCCTTAATTATTTACAATATGCATTAGTGAATGAGGGAAATGAATGTGCTATAGCAAAATTTTCAGATGACAAAAATAGGTGTGAAGGAAAGTGGTGACAATAACACAAGAATATAGACAGGTTAAATGAGTAGTGAAAAATTTGCCAGGTGGAATATAGTATTGGAAATGTGAGGTTAAGCCCTTTAGCAGGAAGGTAAGAAGAACTGAATATTATACAAGTGGAGAAAGACTGCAGAAATCTGCAGCATTGGGATTTGGCAGTCCTAGTGCATGAATCGCATAAAGCTAACATCAAAGTTCAGTGGATAATAAGGAAGGCAAATGGAATGTTAGCTTTTATTTCAAACGGAATGGAGTATAATGATAGAGAGTACTTTCTGAAAGTATACAAGGCACTAGTCAGACCACAACTGAAACTCTGAGCAGTCTTTTTTATTCCCCTTGTCCAAGGAAAAATGTTCTGGCAATGAAAGCAGTCCAAAGAAAGTTCACGAGGTTCATCCCATGTATGGAGGGATTTTCTTATGAGAAGAGATTGATTGGGTTTTACTCACTGGGGTTTAGAACAATGAGAGGAGACCTTGTGAAAGCATACAAGATTCTTAGGGGACTTGACCAGGTAAATGCAGAGAGGTTGTTTTCCCTTGTCAGAGCACCTAGGACCTGAGGGCATAATCTCAGATTGAGGAGTAGCACATTTAAAACAAATAAGGAATGTTTTCTGAGGGTGGTGAATCTGTGGAATTTTTTACTGCAGAGGACTGTTGAGACAGAGTGGTTAAGTTTATTCAAGGTTGAGATAGACCGATTTCTAACCATGTGGAAATCGAAGGCTGTAGGGATAAAGCAGAAAAATGGAGCTGAGGATTATCAGATCAGCCTTGATCTCATTGAATGGCAGAGCAGATTCAATGGGCCAAATGGCCTGCTTGTGCTGCTATGTCTTACAGAATGCTCTAACTTTGCTACTAACGTCCTTTGTGGGAGCTTATCAAAAGCCTGCTGAAAATCCAAATTCACTACACCCATTGGTCCTTTGTTGCAAGTATCATCCTTTTTTTAAGAAAAAAAACTTACAACAGTCTTGTTAAACACAATTCCCCTTTGACAAATCCATGTTGACTGCCCAATCAGATCATCATTTTTCTAAGTGTCCAGTTATCATAATACAATGGAGTAAAAGTTTTTCCTGTTACTGACCCCAAAACTAATAGACCTATGGGTTTTCATTCTTTTTCTCAATCCATCCTCTGAATAGTAGTATTACATTTACTTAATGTAGCTCATTTGTTCAGGAGATTTATCAAACTTCAAACCCGTTAGTTTTGCAAATACTACAATGTTATTTATTTATTTCAATGCCTCGTTTTCACAGGTCCTTTGGTCCCCTAGTATTTGGTGGCGAAGGAGTGTGGGGTGTGGTTCTGTGTCTTTCTGAGGAGACAAAGTAATTTTTTAGTTCAGCTATTTCCCTGTCCACCATTGCACTTTTGTCGGTCCAGACCTATAAAGGACGCATATTTGTCTTTGCTAATCTTTTCCTTCACACTCATCTGAGGAGGCCTTTCAGTCTGCCTTTGTTTCTTCCAGCTTGCATTCACATTCACATTTCTTTGCCAGTATCTTGGACATCTTTGCTGAATTTCAAATTGCTCCCGACCCTTGGGTTTAGTACTTCTTATGACAATCTTTATAAGCAACGTCCTTTAATCTAATATGACATTTAGCACCTTTTATTACTCAAGGCTGATTCACCTTTCCTGATGGGTTTTTGTATCTTGGAGAAATGTACATCTGTTGTAGGCCATGTAGTATTACTTTAAACACTAGCCATTAATTATTCAGTCTTTTTGTGTATTTTTCCATTTTGCCATAGCCAATTTGCTTCATATCGTCAGTCCGAATGGTGTGACTTGACACCAATATATCCCTCTTGATATGTTATTAAGGAGGCCATTACACCAGCAAGATCTTCCACCCTGCCATAGGCATCAACTGCTATGTATTTAACTGAAGCAGAGAACAAATTGGCCTAATTCGACTGAGTTTAGAGCCGGATGGTTTTATGAAAAAACTCATTAATTACTTTGTTCCTGTCAAGTTCTATGATGTGACATTAAAATAGTTAATATCAAGGTGTTAATGTGGATGATAGATGGGTTCGAGGGACTGATGTACAGGTGGGTGGCCAAGGGACTTGTACAATTATACTAGCTCAGAAAATGAAAATCTTTACAATTAGGTCCAACAATCATAAAAATCTTGTACTTGATGAAATCTGTTAAAGAATTTTGATGCAAGTAAAAGGTGGTATGAAAAATGAGAATCCCCCTTGTTTCAGTATGTCTGTTAGATACATATAAGGAAGAGAATATAATCCGTAAAATGCAGGGAACATTGGTTCCTGTACTCATTTGCGCCCTTTATCCATAAGAACAGGAGCTGATATGGATGAGAATATGTCCTCATTGATGACTTATTCTAGTTACATTAGTATAGTTTTAATACATATCTTAATGAAAATTAGACTTCAATGATTATTTTTATTTATTATTTTTATTTACTTACGTTTGTTTAAATGATTACACAGTGTGCCAAAATACATTTCCGTATGAATTTTCTTTATGGACATAAAGTGAAAGATACATGTTCTCTTGTGTAGAGATCAGAGCTGAAACAAAGATAGAGATCCACATTTTTCATTCTCTATCCTATGCTGTACTCATAGTATGTTCCAGGGCCACCTGCGGTGTGGTATGGCACACTTTCTCCCTAATTTACAGAACCTTTGCTCACTTCATGCTGGTCATAATTCAGAACTTGCTAGCTCTGAATGCTGCAGAGCATTTATTAAATACTGTATAAGTAGAGGTGGGGCAAGGCACAAATAATAAACCCATAGAAGTGACCTTTAATGTGTCACCACTTTGGTCTGTGGCTTTTGAGTAAAATGTTACTAAATTTGCCTCTCTTGCAGCTATGCTGTCAGTGCATTGAGCATGTATTGTCTCACACCTCCATTGAGCCTCAATAACAGGAATTTAAAATGCAAGTGACCCACATGGAAATTATGTTTATTAGAATGTTATTTATTCAGTGTTGCTTTCAGAAATTTAAGAATGTTCTACAGGATGAGAGCAATAACACTTACAAGACTGCTTATTGACTGCAGGCAGCTAATTCTTGTGCTTTTTCTCTCATCTCTGATAGCCAGGGTACCGCAGTACTGAATGCTGCTGTGTTGTTCCTACTACTTTTTCTCAACCTTTATGTGATTGGGAGACAAGGAAGACTGAAAAGAGGCGAGGTCATAGCCAGACTACAAGCAATCATCAATAAACTGAATGGTGAATAATCATGAAACAAATGTTAGAGTTGAGAATCTTTGTGACAGATTAAGACAGATTTCTTAGTTCACCTTGAGTGAATATCCAAACTAATGAGAAACAGCTGAGACTGTAATTATCTCACAGGTAACATTTTAAACAGTCAAGGTTGAAATCTGAAGGTAGATCTGACCCATTCTGTGGAGAGAGAAGCAGAGTTAAGATTTCATCCAAACTCAAATATTGGACATGAACAGCATTTCTGTAAATACAGAATCAGGAAAAAGGATGCGTGCATGACCATAACATGCTTAATAGCTGTTTATCTCTAACAGTTTCCAGTTCTGATAAGATGTCATAGACCTGAAACATTAACTCTGTTTCTACCTAATTTCCTGATTGTTTTCAATATTCCCTATTCTTGATGAATGTTCTAGCATTTGAAGTATTTTGCTTTTGTCACAGTTAATGGAAGCTGAAAATCTTGACTTACACATTCAGCAGTTTTATTCATTTCCTATGACTATTTTTCTGATCAGATTAATAAATGTTGTCTTGCCTATACTGTGGGCATTGGCCAGAGATGCTTTGCAAGTCTCCAGCCTATAAAGCCCCATGCCAAGCCGGTTCTGAAGGTCCTTTCACAGCTTACTGTTTGATTATGCATTTGTTTATTTGAATGTAATTTGCCTGTATCTTGAAATCTTAATTACCTCCCTAAACTGCTAATTTCAACTCCATCTGTAGCTGAGCTCAGAAAATGCTTTCATGTGAGTTAATTCTTAAAATTAAATTTTAGTTCAGCAGCACCAGCGGTGTGGTTGATGTTTTGTTTGTGACCCAAAGGTCTCAACTAAGTAAAGTTCAATGAGCCTACTGCTGGAGGTCAGAATTGCATTTTACATGTTAAGTTTCCAGCTGCATAGTGGTTTATTTGATGTAAACATATGACCCATTGCCTGTTTAATCAGTTCGCAGGTGGTGTATTTATTGACTGAAGTTTCTTTGAAAGGCTAAAATAAATGAATTTTGTACATCAGGAAACATATTTTGTTTTGAAAAATTGTTTGCCATCACCACCACAACAGATCCTGGGCCGGTATGTAATACGGAAGTCAAATGAGTTGGACCTCGCACTGAGTCAGTCTTGAGATGACCTTGTTTGAATGGTTCAGTTACACAATGTTTTGCTCATTAAATCATGAGAGGAATAGGTTTGAATGTGTTGTACGTCACTGTGAAGGTCAGGATCTCTTTCGTAATACTATTCATCTTGTTACTATCTTAGAGACCAATGCTGATTAGCCAAATCAGACAATAGTCATTTATTCTGATTGTGTATTTGCATAACTTACATTACTGAGGTACTGAGCTGACAAATTAGAAAGCAGTCCTGGGATGAGGGTGTTAATTTTGAGTTCTTTATTTCTGTGTGGAACTTTCAATTACAGCTTAGACTCCGGGCCTGATATGTGCAACAAGAAATTACCCAATATCAAAAAAAAGTTACAGAAATTTTAGTTAGCAATAGTCATTTTTGCTGAGTTTCTTATTTGCGCATGATGCACTTGTGTGTATTGCAGCCCAGACCAAAAACCTGAAAATCTCAGTCACAGAATATGAACTCTATGCTATAAAGTTGCATTTTTAATAACAGAGAAGATGCTGGAGTTAAAATGTTTTCCCCATTAGACTCATTCAGTATCGGGAAGGTACCCTGGAAAAATGCACTTTAAAGTCAGTGGAAATTTCTGCATTGTTCACATCATTCCTTAAGATGTGATAGTGGGAGTCAGTGTCTTGTGTGTTAATGTTCACTCGCTGCATTTAGGTGGCTCCCAACCCAGATTCTATGACAGAAACAGAACATGCTGCAAGTGCTCGATGTATCGAGAGCATTCAGGGTGAGAGGAAACGTTACTGTTTCAAGTTGATGAACTGATGTCAGTTGGATGATGTTAGAGATGATCTGCATTGAGCAAGTGCCCAGGTCGTGGAAGTTTGTTACTTCACTATGCCACATTGTCATGTCAAAGTATGCAACTTAATTCATTTTTCACTGTGCAAATTTAAAAACTGATTTCTTGAGTGTTGGTATTTGTTTTGTTCAATGTTTGTAGAAGCACTTCTGAGTAGTGAGGAACTGAGATGGGAAGATGCATTATACCCAGATCTCTTTATGCCCTCTGCCCCATCCTGGTCACTCCACTGGGCCTATAGAGATGGACATTTAGTCAATCTTCCAGTCTGCTTATTGGTGGAAGGCGACATCATTGCCCTTAGACCTGGCCAGGAGTCCTTCGCTTCTTTAAGAGGAATAAAGGTAAGCATTTTTTTTCTTCCAACTAAATATGTAAACCATGCCCTTTGGAAATGAAAATTCTGTTAGTTGGTGACAAATCTGATATTCCTATTCTGGTAAAGAGGCAGAAATATACCAGGAAATAATAGGCTTCTTTGTCTTATTTTAACTGAAATATTGCTAGAAAGAGACTTAAGGTCAAAGCATTTTATTTGCAGTCATCAAGACTAGGATGGAAGAAACCAGAATTGGAAATGGGATACCAATTTATACAGCATGAGAAGGGGGCAGTAACTGGTTGGGTAATTGCTAGCATGGAGACAAGGAACAGTTAATTGTCAGACTTGATTCTTAGGCCAGGCACGTAGACTCTTGGTCAGAAACACAGCAGAGGTTGACAGTCCCCATGACCCGGCTTTCCCATGGAAAGGTGCAAAGTATGTGCAAATTCCTTTTGCCAACATTAACCTGGGTCCAGTATATTAATGTTAATATGTGTAACTTCTGGCTTGTGGAAATGCATCATACTGTGACCGTGATTGCTGATTTTTACATTTGTTTTTGGTGTAATTCTTAGCATTATCTGAATCCATAAATGTTGTTCAGTAGCAGGATCTCCTGTATTGTTGGGCATGGTGTTCTGCTACTTTAAAGTAGAGGCTTGTTGAACAGGGTCAACATGCCTGCTGAGAATGGACTTGTTTAATATGATCGTTGGGACTCATGGCTATATTCTTGGCATCACACTGGCACTGAAACTCATACATCACATTAGTCATTTGTATGTTAAGCAAAACATCTTTTTGGCTTTACAGCAGCATCCTGTTAGTGGAGAAATCTCTCTTTAGGTTACTGCAAAGTAGCAGGATAAGGCAGCAAGCTTCACGTCTCTGTATTTATGTAGGCTGCATAATCTAGTGGCCTGTTGACCGATATTTTCCTGGCTACCATCAGTTGTGACGAAGGGTCAGTGGACCTGAAACATTAACTCTTTCTTTCCACAAATGCTGCCAGACCTGCTGAGCTTTTCCAGCAATTTCTGTTTTTGTTTCTGATTCACAGTATCCGCAGTTCTTATGGTTTTTTTATTTATGGCATATTGACCATTTGTATAGGGAGTATGCCAATCGTGCTCAATGAATCCATACTTGTAAACCTCAGACCACCATGTCTGACATGGTTTGACAAGAAATGCACCAAAAACCAATCTAAGATTATCAGTTAGGTTTGCATTGTGATGCCCGTGCTAGAAGCTGCATATATTAACACACAGGATCCTGTTTTATGGAGTTAAAAGGAATTTATACAAGCATTGCACCTTTTTTTTGGGAAAATAGAAACTGCCATGTTCTGTTGTATTCCCACGGCGATACGTTAACCAATCAAAGTTTACGTGCTTTGTGGCCTGAGAACTCTGACAATTAATTATTCCTGCTGCAATTCCACATCAACAACGGTCCAAGCAATCAGCATCCTCTACTGGTGCTATATAAATTGGCACTTTTTTGTCCCAACATCTGTTTCTTGCATCCTTCAGCTGTGAATGAATTGTTGGAGTATAATATGGACTGAATTTATTAAGCTTTACCTGAGCAGCTCATAGTTCAACAATTAGTGTGGGTTTCAGTAGGCATACCATGCTTGACTGTGGAAAATTCTTTGAATGTGTACAATAAATAAGAGATGTAGGTTGTATTTCACATGGCTTCTTAAAAGCCTATGGATAGGTCCTGTACAAAGATTTGTGACAAAGACAATTGTGCATCGTTCAGGAGAATGTGGAACACAGATAAATAGGTAAGAAGTAAAAGACAGAGGTAAAAGCTAGATCTCAGCGGAATGATTTGTTGAATTATGTTCAATAAGAACCTGTGTTAGAACTGTCCTTATTAAATACATGTGCAAGTAATTTGAATTTAGGAGAATAAATAATATCCAAACAGCAGACTTGAAAAGATTTGTAGGACCTGCAAATAACTTGCACTTTATAGTTAATTGTAGAAATATAAACTAATATACTTTGGAGGTAAAATTCAGGAAAGGAAATACAACTAGGGTAATTTTTAAATTGGGTACAGAGATTTTGCTGTGCTGATACATGAGTCAAGAAAGGTTTCAGTTCAGGTCTGGAACTGCATGCAGTTCAGATTGCCCTACCGTAGAAAGGGTACTGTTAAACTATAGAAAGAGTGCAGAAAAGATTTATTAGGATGATACCTAGACTGGAAGGTTAGATAGGCTGAGACTTTTTTCCCTGGTGTGTAGGAGACTGAGGGCTGACCTTACAGAGGTCTGTAAAATCATGAGTGGCATAGATAAAGTAGATAGACTTCCCTACAATTGGGAAAAGCTGTTGGCTAAAACTAGAGGGCATAGGTTTAAGATGACAGAGGAGAGATACAAAAGGATCGGGGACAATTTTTTCACACAGGGTGGTGAGTGTCTGGAATGGACTGTCGGATGTAGTGGTGGAACTGAGTACAACTTTGTCATTTAAGAAACATTTAGCCAGATGTATGGGTGAGATAGGTATGGAGGGATATGGACCAAATGCAGGCAGATGGGACTAGATTAATTGTAAAAACTGGGCGGCATGGGCAAGTTGGGCCGAAGGGCACGTTTCCATGCTATACACCTCTGTGATTGTAAAAACATTTTAAAATGAGCAGGTGGGATTCTTGTTTTATGATTATAATTGATCAATTTTGTAGTTGTCACCAGTTCCTTCGCTGCCAGTGCATGATATTGGGTGTTTTATGTTGCATTTTTTAAAATCAAGTAATGAGCCTCCATCTCTTTCTCTCCTTCATTCTTTGCTTGAAACAGGACGACGAGCACATAGTACTGGAACCTGGTGATTTGTTTCCCCCGTTTTCCCCCCCGCCAACACCCAGGGGAAAAGGAAAGAAAGGACCTGAGACTCCTCAGCAGCACAGACACTTCAGAGTAGTGAGAACCCCAGTTCTTGAAAATGTCAGGTAAGAGGAGCTGAGGATTTCTAATGGTTGGTAATTTTGTTTAATCCACTCACCGTTGTATGGGACCTTGGAATTCACTGAGTTTATATTTATGAAATTTTGATAATTGCCTATCATTAAAGATCATATTCATTTTCCATTGCAAATATTCAGTGTTGTAGACATAGGAAATCAACATAAAATTGCTGGTCCTGTGTTGAGCTGCACTACGTAATGCAGGCAGTGAGTAAAGCTTTACTGAAAATATATACGTGACTGCTTCAGCCCTGATGCTCATTAGGCAGCTACATTTTGACCCTTTGATATTTCTCAGTGGTGTGAGATTTTTAGTTATGTTGACGTCAATAGTATTAGTGCATAGTGCATTGCACCTACTTTTCATGAATATGTTACACAAACATCAGTTCGTTAACCTGTTATTAGGGATGAGGGGATAATGTACCCATAGTTTGACATATTGTATGGGTTGGATTTCTGAAATATTCTGAAATATGTGAAGATGAATTGCCAAGCTTTTGATTTTATACAAACTGAAATGAGTCACTCCTTCAGTACATAAATGTTAGGCAAACGGTATTACACGGGGAAGATATTTGTACACAGATGACTTGAAGTGGAGGAAAAGGGGAGAAACCTGTGACTCAGTGAATCCTGAGAAACTAGGAGCCTAGGCAACAGATTGTTTGGGAATGAATGTAAAATAAATCACATGAGGGAAAAGGGATCTCAATTTATGGACATTGTAGTACGGTAATGTAAGGTGAATCCAATGTAATCAAACCAGGGCTTTGTATATTACCATAGAATTTTACAGCATGGAATGCAGCCATTCAATGCCTGGATTATTCCCACTTTCCAACCCTTGGTCGGAGTAGACAAAATTCAATCTCGACGGCCACGATCACATGCTGTACTGTACTTGTTATTCCAAAGAAGGAGGTGTGATGTCATTTTTAATTCATTCATGGGATGTGGACATCTCGAGATAGGCCAGCATTGACTGCCCATTCTAATTGCCAGAGAACAAGCAAGAGTTAACCATATTGCTGTGGATCTGGACTCCTGTCTGGACCAGACCAGGTAAAGACAGTAGATTTCCTTACCTAGTGAACCATATGGATTTTTATGATTAAGGTTTTTATTGAATTCCAGTTTCATATTTGCCATGGTGCAATTCAGGCCCATGACCCAAGAACCCCTGACGTCCTAGTCCAATGCAATTGCCACCAAATAAGTAATCAAGATGTATACAGCCATTACAGCCCAGTTACTGATTTCTACCTCAGCATCCTCTTGGTCTCATCTGGTTGAGAGCGAAGCCCAAGAAACTTGAGGTCATCCTTGATCTCGTCTCACAAACACCAAGTAAAGAATCACAGAAAAGACCAACACCAGAGTGAATATTACCTGGACTAACCCCTCCTTGCTTTCAGTATAGGTGGTTGTTTTCAAGGGTGATCAAATCCGTGGGTCTGTATTTGCATTTCTTTGGCAGTATTGTGTCAGCTCAGAGATTGCACCATTTGTCCTTTTCATTTAAACCTGCGATGTTCAAAAAGGTGCAGAAGTTTAGAAATATTTTCTTGATTTGAGTTGTATATTCAGTAGCATCTTGAGGTCTTCATGGGTTGGCAGTCTGAGTTGGCTTCAGTGTGGCCAAACTACTTGTGATGTTGCCTTCTGGTATGTCAGGAGGCAAGTTATTAGACTGGACTGGGAGCCATTGGACAAGTGATAATTTCAGTGTTTCACTGGTTACCCACATTGATGACTTGAGGACATGTCCAAGCACATTGTGTTGCTGTTCCCTGCCCCGACTTTCTGCTGAAACATATGTAAGAACAAGGCAAGAAGAGTGAACTGTGTGAGATTGGGGAACCCCAGGTTGTGTCTGTTATTTCATAATATTTACTCTGGTATTGGCCTTTTCTGTCACCCTGTCCTGATGTTTGTGACACATGAGGCTGTGATCCGAGCTTGCTGTTAACCAGTTGCTTGCTGAGGTGAGAAACAGTGACTGTGGTTTAATTGCTGTATACTTTTTGATTATTTATTTATTTATACCTTTTTTAAATTCACCTCCCCTCCTTGAATTGCTACTGTCCATATAGTATGGGTATACCCACAGTGTCGTTCGTGTGTTCCAGGATTTTGACCCGGTGACAGTGAAGGAATGTTCCAAGGAGTGGCTTGGGGGGAAACTTACAGATGCTGCCGTTGTCATTCAAGGTGGTAGAGTTCAAAGATTTGGAAGGTACTCTTGAAGGAGCCATGATGAGTTGCTGCAGTGCATGGTGTAGATAGTACTCATCGCTGGCACTGTGTGTTGGTGATGGAGGGATGAATGTTTGTTGGTGGATGGGATACCAATCAAGTGCTGATTTCTCATGGATGGTGTTGACCTTATTGAGTGTTGAGAGTATTCCATCAAAGTTCTGACATGTACCTTTATAGATGGTAGACAGGCTTTGAGGAATTAGGAGATCAGTTATTTGTTACTGAATTCCTAGCCTTTAACCTGCTCGTGTAGTAACATTATTTAAATGACTGGTCCAGTTCACTTCCTGGTCAATAATAACTCCCAGAATGCAGATGGTAGGGGATTCAGCAATGGTATTGCTTTTGAATATCAAGGACACATGGTTAGATTTCCTCTCCTTGTTGAAGATGATCATTACTAGGCACTTGTATGGCACAAATATTACTTAGCTCTTATCAACCTAAGCCTAAGTATTTCTTATGTACTTGAAACTTGCTACGTAGACATGGGCTGCTGTCCTATCTGAGGAATCATAAATGGCGCTGAGCACCATGCAATCATCAGTGAACATTCCCACTTCTGACCTTTTGAGGAAAGGAAGATTGTTAATGAAGCAACTGGAGATGTTTGGACACATGAAAAGGAAAAGTTGAGAAATATATGGGCCAAATGCTGGCAAATAGGACTAGATTTATAAAGGATATCTGGTCAGCATGGACAAGTTGGACCGAAGGGTCTGTTTCCATGCTGTACATCTCTATGACTCTACCCTGAGGAAGTTCTGTAATAATGCTCAGGGTGCTGGGATGATTGACCATCAGCAGCCACAACCATCTTCCTTTTTGATAGGCCTGGATCAAACCAGGAGGGTTTTTCCACCTGATTCCCTTTGACACCAGCTTTACTAGGGCTCCTTGATGCCACAGCCAGTCAAATGCTGCTTTAATGTCAAGGGCAGACTCATCTCATATCATCTCACCTCACCTCTGGATTTGGGCTCTTTGGTCCATGTTTGGACTGATGCTTTAGTGAAGTCAGGAGCTACATCACTGTAACAGGATCCATACTGAGCGTGCGTGAGCAGGTTACTGCTGAGCAAGTGCAATTGACAGCACTGTCACAATCCTTTCCATCACAAACAAGACTGGTGGAATGGTAAATTGACCGGGTTGAGTTTGTCCTGAGTTTTGTAGACCTAATTGATGCATTTTATTGATCTGTGTAGATTGACTTTTTTTTTCAGATATTCACTTTTCAGCTTTTTTTCCCACTATTTAAGCAGTACTTTATTCAGTCCTTCTTTTTGCTTCAAAATGGATGACCTCTCACTTCCCTGTATTGCGATCCATCTGTCAGAATTTTGTCCATTCCATGTTTATTTGTAATTTTATGTTCCTGTCTACCCTGCCAATATTTGAGTCATGACAAACCTGGCAATGCAGCTCTCCATTGTAATCCAATTAATCAGTAAATAACAGCAGCTGAGCCTCAGCAAAGATCCATTTGAAACGATGCTACTTCCTTCCAATTTGAATATTATCCCCACTCTGTCTTCTGCTACTTAACCAATCTCCTAACTCGGTCAATAATTTGCCTTTGGTTCCACAAGCCTTACTTTTAGACAGCAGTCTGTTATCGAATGTCATCTGGGAGACCATACAAAGTACACACTCAGACCTGCCTGGTACCTTAATTACTTCCTGAAATTATTGTATTACAATTTTTGGACATGTCCTGCTCCTTTTAAATCCACGTTAATTCTCCCTAACTGATTCAAATTTCTGTGTTCAGTCTTTCTGATCTTAAAGATTTTCATTGTACCTTCTGACCAATTACTTCTGAGATTTCTTAGTAAGATAGTAATGTGTGGCTTTGGAAGCAAACCCCCTATTCGCTCAAACACTGGAATGATTATCTGTCTTCGGGACTGTTGAAAGCACTTGTTAAAAATGAGGCATTGTGTTAAAGATTTTGTCTTGAGACCTATTTCTCATGTCCATAACTATCTTCCCAGATTGCATTATTCTATGTTCTATATCCTGAATTTCAACTAAATTGGAAATACAAGCACTGCGCACAGTGCTATCATAAAGTACCGAAGCTTTGCTTGCTCCTCTTTTCTAGGCCATCTCTGCCATCCAAAATGTAAATTTTAATACATTAATCTTTCAAGATGTACATGGCAGATACAGTATTATATGGATAAATGTGAGGTTATCCACTTTGTTAACACAAACAGGAAGCGGAGTATTATATGAATGGCAGTATATTGGAAAAGGGCCCCAGTTCCTGAAAGTAAGCATACAGGTGCAACTGACAGTAAAAGCGGACCATGTTATGTTAGCCTTCATAGCAAGAAGATTTAAGTAGAGGAGTAGGGATGTTTTGCTGATATTGTACAGGGCCTTGGTAAGACTACAGTTGTGTAGTTGGATATTGTGTGTAGTTTTTATCTCCTTATTTGTGGACTGATGTTCTGGCATTGGAGAGAATGCAAAAAAGGTTTCCCAGACTGATTCCAAGGATGACAGGACTGATGTATGAAGAAATACTAGACTGTTACAGGTAGGAGAACATTCATTGGATTTGTAAAGAATGAGGGGTATCTCATAGACATACGCAAAATTCTAATGGGATCTAGACAAGGTAAATGCAGGAAGGATTTTCTCAATAAGCAGGGAGTCCAGAACTTGGGGAGACAATTTAAGGATGTAGGTGGGCCATTTCGGACTGAGACAAGTCTTTGGAATTCTCTGCCACAGAAAATGTTTTGAGTCTAGAACATTGAATGCTTTCAGGAAGGAGTTAGATCGTTCTTAAGGTTAAAAGGATCAAAGGGTGTGGATGGGAAGCAGGGCCCTGAATTGGATAATCAGCCGTGATCGTATTGAATGGGGATGCATGCTTGAAGGGACAATTTTCTACATTTCTCTGCGTGAAAGTAGCCATTGTAACTACACAATTGTTCTTACCCATTTAGATTACAGATGTTTTGTCTTTTTACAGCTCTTCTGTTTGTAGTAAGCAGTTCCACAGGAATCTGTCTAGGGCTGCCAATCCTCTAGTATTGTTCTCAAGTCACCAGGATTTGAAAATTAGTCTCGACACTTCCTTAAGTAAGGAGCAAAAAAAATCATAAACAGAATAGTGTATTTTTTCATTTTTCAAGTTTACTGAATATAAAAAATTGCTGATGAGTGAAAAAGTGCACTCTATCATTAACAGTCAAGATTAATCCAGTTGGCTAACAAAAGCCTCTGTTAAGTCAGTTGTACTCTTCTCGCCTCCCAGCATAGTTACCCATCCTTCCCACCCCCTGTGATGATGTGAAAAGGCTTCAAACTAAATTAGCCCTACAACTTCCGGCCTGTCGCCATGTTTTTGCAGTTTGTATAGCAAAATGTCTGATCCATTTTTGAGGAAGATATGCACTTCATTAAACAAAAAAAAACCAAAGAATGTCAGAAACTGGAAATCTGAAACAAAATCGGAATTGCTGGAGAAACCCAGCAAGTCTAGCAGCATCTGTGGAGACAGAAACAGAGTTAACACTTCGGGTCCAGAGACCCTCCTTCAGATTTCAGTTCTGAAGCTCAGATCGATAAAGGGTAATCAATCACAGTGTCTCTTCATTGCTGCAATTGGTAACCTCCGCCACACCCTCATTGGTGCCTAATGTTATTGCCAGGCTTTCTTTCCAATCCAACTCGCCCAAACACATAATTTCTTCCTCCTGATTGCTGCTTATTTGCTGTCACCTCCTGACACTGGATTCAATCTGCCCAGATGTGCAAGAAAGAGAAGCAGGGAATTAATATTCATCTCAGGTTCTTTGCTTCTCTAGCCTTTCCGAGTGTTCCTTGTTCCCATTACCTCAAGAAATATCAGAACCAATGTATCCGTTCCCTTTCTAATTCTCATGCGTTGGTGTGTAACTGGCAGATGAACCAGTGGCAATTGTGTGTCATGTGGTAGTTTGCAGCGAGAGGTTTTGTGACACTGTCTCCAGTAATGCATCTAACCATAATTGTTGATCCTACTTGTACCTGGCTCATACCATTCTTGCTGGTATTCCAGTGCAGAGTTGTCCTTGACTGAGTGTAGCAGATCAGCACGTTCCAAAACCAAAAACACCTTGTGCTGAGGGACACACTGAAGCTGCCGCACAGGTACAATGTAGAAAGTTCAGCGTCTAGGACTTCACAGCCACGATACACTGAAGGGCTGGAAACTGACGAACTTTCTGGCTACATGACTGACAAGGAAAAATGTATATTGTGAGTGTTGAGATTACTGAAGTTGTATTGAGACACCTCAGTGGAATGGGTGCAGGGAGAAAAGTTTATTTCCTTGCAATTCCAATAATTTCCAATTCAAAATGTTTTGCTTTGGGCTGTATGCCTGACTTGGAATTTATCATATAAGTGACTATTACAAAAGCAGAAATTGCTGGTAAAAGTCAGCAGGCCTGGGGAGAAAACAGTGTTAATGTTTCGAGTCTGGTGACTCTTCTTCAGAACTATTAAGACTATTACAGTTGCACTGAGGCACCTAAGAATTAAATGCGTCATATGGAGACGAGTTGAATTTTGCTACATCTTGAATTTTCTAAACAATATTTTGTGCAATTTAAAATTTTATGAATCAACTGTATTTGTGGATAAGGTAGCCATTCCTTCCATATAGCCGAGACTTAAGCATCAACGTGCTGCTTTGACAACATAAAGCATTGGAGCTCAGTTCTATTCTGCCTCAGTACTCACACCATTCCTCTTACTTGCATTGCTGACCTGTTGGTGAAATGTAGGAGTTATGACTGATTTTCTGTTCCTCCCTATCAGGCAAGAGATGCTAACACCATATCCAGCAATCAAACTGTATCCTGATTTTAAGACAGTTCCTGTCTTTCACCCCTGGGCTTGCAAGTATTTCATCCTAAAGAACTTAAAACTACATGAGTGAACTTTTTGTCCACCAGTGATTTTGAGGCTTAAGTGCGAATGTGCTTTGAGCATGTTTCTTTGCCCATCTCTTGATCCCATTTAATAGCTGTCTTTTGCAAATAATTAAGTTATCAAACAGGTCAGAAAGATGTGATATTTCAATCTAATTATAGTGCTTTTCTGAAGAGTTTCATGCCTTATACCTGTCAGGGAGAAGAAGATTGTAATCCCATTTGTCAAGCTGAATTGCAAACTGTTAATGCATGCAAGTCTGCACTCTGAGTTCCCTTGTTGTAGTTTCCACTCCTTAGCTATTTGTTTCTAGTTGCCTGACTCCCTGGCTCTGGGAATAGAAGAACTGTATGTGGCATCAGTGTCCTTTGTGTTTTTCCCCCTCTTATAGTCAGTTTGCTGTGTAAAGGTCATACCTGTCTCGTTTCACAGGCGGAGTCTGGATCTAGCACTATCTCGGCCTGTCACTGCACTTGATAACGAGCGGTACACGGTACAGTCAGTGATGGAGAAATACACAGTTCCTTTTGTTCTGGTAAGTAAGTCATTTTCATATCCACACTTGTAGTTTTTGAGCTGAATTTGGAGTAACTGGTTCCTCAGCTCCTTACAGCTAAAGCTTTCAACGCTCAATAGTGTATTTCAGTAATGTTGCAACTGCATTAGTATGTTGATTTATTTGCACTGTGTTTCCTTACCCCGAAGATGTTTTTCCTTCTCGACTTAGTTTCACTCTCCACTGGAAAAGAATAAAGCTACAATTCCAAATGCTGCAAACCCCAGTCTGTTGTGGTCACTGGATATCCAAAAAGAGAGTTCAAATCCAAGGTGGCAAGCTTGCTGCTCGGTGTGGAGAAAACTTTTTGTAAAGTTACCTTCCCAAATATGCTCCCTTCATATCCTGTAGACTTTGGATTGTGCTGGTGACAGTGCCCATGAGCATCAAATCTGCAATAAAATCTTTTTCAGATGTACCTAACCAGCTAGATCCAGCAGGCTGATCCAGTGTGTGAAGCAGCTGAGCTAGGTCTTATCCTGTCTTTGAGTATTTTCCAGCTGAGGTCACTGGCATACAGACAGGAGCAGGAACCCCAATCAACTGTCGCTTGATTTTCTTTCTCACAAATCTAAAGTCTTTAGTGAGGATTCCTGCCTTCTCTGAAAGACTGCTTAGCCCTGAGATTGAAGTTGCCTTGATTTTATAGTTGAGTTTCATACTGGTGTTCTGTTCCCCACTGAGAGAACATTGTAGCACTTTCCTGGCACATTTCTTGGTCTCTTTGATCGTGGAACTGCCCACGGGTTAAACAGTTCTGCTGTCCTAACCAAAGAAGACAGTCCCAGTGCCAGTGAGCAATCCATACATATTTGATTTTGTTACTTGAAGCCAGCATTCTGTCTTGTGGCGATATGGTTCATTTTGTATCTTAAAGTCCTAGATTTGGACAGCGTGGAAACACACCCTTTGGTCCAACCTGTCCATGCCGAGATAATCCCAAACTAAACTAGTCCCATCTGCGTGCTCCTGGCCCATATCCCTCCAAACCTTTCCTATTCATGTACTTATCCAAATGTCTTGTAAATGATGTAATTGTACCTGCATCCACCACTTCCTCAGGAAGCTCATTCTACACGCAAACCACGGTCTGTGTAAAAATTTGCCCCTCATGTCTTTTTTAAATCTCTCTCCTCTCACCTTAAAAATGTGCCCCCTAGTCTTGATATCCCCCATCCTAGGGAAAAGACAGCGACCATTAACTCTTAACTATACCCGTCATTATTTTATAAATTTCTACGAGAATGTCTCTCAACCTCCTACACTCCAGGAAAAAGGTCCCAGCCTATCTAGTCTTTCTTTATAACTCAGACCTTCCATACCCTGCAACATTCCTGGTAAACCTCTTCTGAACTCTCTCCAGTTTAATAATATCCTTCCTATAACAGGCTGACCAGAACTGGGCACAATATTCCTGAAGAGGCCTTACCAATATCCTGTACAACCTCAACATGACTTCCAAACTCCTATACTCAAAGGACTGAGCAATGATGGCAAGTGTGCCAAATGCCTTTTTAACCACCCTGTCTATATGTGATGCAAACTTCAAAGAATTTTGTACCTGATCCCCTCTGTCCCTCTGTTCTACAGCACTAGCCAAGACCATACCAGTTCATCGACTTCGCCAATAACTTCCACCCTGCCTTCAAATTCATTTGGTCTATCTCAAACACCCCCTCCCCTTTCTTGACTTCTCCATTTCCATTTCTGGCGATAGTTTATGGGCCGACATTTACTATAAACGCACAGACTCCCATAACTACCTAGATTACACCACCTCCCACCCTGCAAAAACTCCATCCCGTTTTCCCAACTCCTCCGCCTCAGACACATCTACTCTGACGAGGGGATATTCCACTCCCAAGCATCCCAGATATCTGCCTTTTTCAAACAACACCCTTTTCCTCCCTCTGTCATCCAGACAGCCCTCCACCACGCCTTCTCCATGCCCTGCTCTACAGCCTTTAACCCCGCCTCCCTGCCCCGAAACGTGATAAAGGTAAGGTCCCCCTTGTCTTCACTTTCTACCCCACCAGCCTCCACATCCGACATATCATCCTCAAACACTTCCACCAACTACAATTGGATCCCACCACCCAGAACATTTTCTGCTCCCCACCCGTCCCTGCCTTCCACAAGGACCATTTCCCTCACCACTCCTTAGTTCACGCCACACTCCACCAACCACTCCAACCCGCCCGGTACCTTCCCCTGTAACCATAAAATCTGCAAAACCTGCCCACACACCATCTCCCTCACCTCCAACCAGGGCTTAAAACAGTCCTTCCAGATGAGACAGTTTTCTGGTGTGGTCTTCTCTACATCAGTGAGACCAAATTAGACCATGTTATCATTTTGCCGAGCATCTTCACCCGGCCTGTAACGGCCAGACTAACCTCCCGGTCACCACCCATTTCAACTCCACCTCCACCTCCACCCCCTCCCACTCCCACTCCCACTCCTCCGACATGCCTGTCCTCAGTTTCCGGCAGTGTCTCAGCGATTCAGTACGCAAATTTGATAAACAGCACCTTATCTTCTGTCTGGGCACCCTACAGCATTCAACATTGAGTTCTCCAATTTCAAATAACCTTCCCACTCATCCCCTGGCTCCCTTTCCAGCCCGCCACCCCCTTTCCATTCCACCTTCTGACCCTCCCTTCCATTCCACCTTCTGACCCTCCCTTCCAGCCACCAACTGGATTCATCCCTCCCATCAACCAACCTACCACCAGTGTCCACCTATCACTGCCATTCTGCTACCCCCCTCCCTCCCACTTTATCTGCAGCTCCCTCTATCCTCTCATCTAGTCCCGAAGAAGGGTAATACCCGAAACGTTGACTTCTCCTTTCCTCCTGATGCTCCCTGGCTTGCTGTGTTCTTCCAGCCTCCTGTTTGTCTACCCTACCATTTGTCAACTTTTTGAAATTTGGTTCGGATCTAAAACCCTGCGAAGGTCTGAAAACATTTGTGGTCTAATTTTGGTGATGATGAGTGACCACTTATTCACTTAAAATTTTTGCTTTCAGCTGAAGTGATTAAGGTAAACAGTGTAAATGCATTTGAAGGGAAACTAGGTAATTGCAAGGGAAGAAATAAATAAGGATACACTGTCAAAATTAGGTGAAGTCAGGTGGAAAGATGCTTGTATGAAAAATAATAATCAGCATAGACCAGTTGGACCCAATAGCCTGTTTCTATGCCATTAATGCTATGTAATTTAGGAATTATGTCACTATGCAAACCGATTTAAAGTGACATTATCAATGCCGTTTTAGAGAGGCTAAATTTACATAGACTTGTAGAAATTGCTCAATGCGATTTCTCTTGATCTAATGCTAAATTTTCAGTGTCAATCCAGAACTGGCCACCACCTGGAGAATACAATCTTACTCTCCTCTGGATTTAATCTAGAAATGTATTGATATTGTAAGCTGCAGTTCATAACAAGGTTTCAGCCTCATGATATTGAGAGATAGTTAAGAGGACTGTTTCATGCAAAGTAAGCCTAAAGGAATCTTTACTGGAAAATGCTAGAAAATGAAACATCTCTGGCTATTCTTTAGTGGCTAACTATTCAGTAAATGCTGACATGCTGTAACCTCCAGTTGTAGCCCATGGCTTTACATAGACACTACTAAAAATGAATACATTTCAAAATAGCTGCGTTGAATCTATTTGGGCAGGTAATTGACTATGATGATTCTGGTGTTCGATCTCCTGCTGTGATATGTTCAGTGGTTGCCTGTTGACCATGAAGAAAATTACCCGTGATTTATGCCTGTTCCTTTTTTTTTAAGGCTTTGTTTCTGATTACAAATGCTGTGCGTTTTGCACTCAAAGCACCTGGAATTGGCAATTGGCAGTTCACTTTCTTTCAGCTTCAGGTAAGCTTGTTGCCCTTCGCATAATTCAAAGCAATAGTGCAAGTTTTTCATTGCAGGACGATATTAAATGTCTCCCACTAGGACCTCATCAAATAGCCTGCTAGGCTAATATTCCAATATATTACTAAAGTGAAGGTATTGCATTGTCAGAGGTGATCTATGGGAGAAATGTTCAGCCATATCCTGCAATTCTGCAACAATGCAACAGCCTAGTGGTATTATCACTGGACTGATAATCCAGAGACCCAGGTAATGTTCTGAGGACCAGGGTTTGAATCCTGCCATGGCAGATTTTTTTTTTTTTTTTTTTTTTGGAAACAAATTCCATTGTTAGACAAACTCATTTGGTGCACTAATGTCCTACAGGGAAGGAAACTGCTGTCTTTGGTCTGGCCTACGTGTGACTCCAGACCCACAGCAATTAATTGCCCCCTGAGCAATTAGGGATGGGCATTAAGTCAATGACATCCTCATCCCATGCATGAATATTAAAAAAAAAAAAATTGGCATTCACTAGATCAGGTGAACACTGAAGCTCTCTGTCACTATTCAGAAAGCAGTTCTCTGGATCCCCTGTTCAACAGTGCACCATGTTGTTTGTCTGCATATTAAGACATTCCGTTTCAAAGGTAGCAATGGTATGTGAAGTATTTTTGAAGTATTTCCAGGAGGTAGCATCAGGTCACGTGTAAACACAAATTCAGTGATGACCGTGTTGTCTTGATATCCTCCTTTCTCTGTCCGTGGCTGTGTGCACATCTCAGTGGGAGGAGAGAAGCGATATGGATTGAAACTTTGTTGAATTGGCGGCCCCCTCCGCCTTGGTGTAAATGTCAGGGCTGAACCTGCCACTCCTCTGCAGCTGCCACACACCTTCTCCCCACCAATCCCTGCACACATGTGCACTCACATTAACTGGCACAGGTCTGGTAGGAGCAATGTCATGGGAATGTAGGGCTAGTGGAGCCAGACTGACATTGCCGTGTGAGAGGCGTTGTACACAGGCCAGGTTTAGAAGAGAACTAAAGTGACGGCAAATACATTGGGGGTGTTCTCTGGGACCCAGTGGGCACATGGAGGTGCCCAATCTTCTTTCCCATCAGTTGTAGCAATCAGGCTTCCCACTTGAGCCTTCTCCAGCTGTTAGAAATGTTACGGCTTGGGTGGGAAGAGGCCCTTAAGTGACCATTCATTAACCATCCAATTGGCCCATGGGCCAGGCATGTGATGCCTCCCTCTTGGTGTGTAAAATTGCAACATGATGGTGAGTAGGTCCTGGCACCCATGGCACTGTGCTCAATTTTACACCTGTTGCCTGCCAACCCTCTCCAGTGGAGCAATGCTTAAAATTATACTTGTCCAGTTACTTGCATTTATTCAATAAACTGTTGATAATTGTGGTTGAGTTCATCATTACCCAATACACAGGGATTTTAATCTGCAAATGTTAGATTTCTTTTTGCTCCTTTGGAAAAATTTAAACTAACTAAAATCTCACTTAATTCTTTCTTGCAAATAATGCTAACTTGTTGATTTTAATCTGAATGATTTGTATGTGATTGTGTGATCTGAATTATTTATTGCATTTGCTTATATAGTATAAATCACTTTTTGTGTTTAGGTAAATGGGGTTCTGCCTATTCTTCCCTTGCTCTTCCCTGTGGTGTGGGTGCTCGTCACAGCATACGGAGAGGCTAGAGTCCTCGCTCAGTTCAGCAAAGCTCCTCCAGTTGGCCTGGTATGTTTTTTTTGGCTTCTGCCTAGAATTAAGCAAATTGGGACTGCAACAAACTAAATTGAGGAAGTGGAGAGTGATACATGCTTGATACTTGGTTTAAGAAAACTTTTTTATAAACTGACTTTTCAAGATTTAACAACAAAACGTTTGTTTATATATAATGCTTTTAATGCAATGAAACTTGCTAAGGCATTTTGCAGGGGCATTCAACAGCAAAATGTGACATCAACCGGGTGAGGAGATACTGAGTCAGATAACTGATACTTCAGTTTTTAAGGTGTGTCCTAAAAGAAGAAAATGAAGTGTGGAGGTGTGAGTGGCATTTCAGACATTAGGCAGCCAAAAGCATGGCCGATAATGGTGGACCAATTAATATTGGACATGTGCAAGGGACCGAAATTAAAGGAGTGCAGATATCTTTTTGGGGTGGAGGAGGTTACAGAGAAATGGAGGAGAAAAACCAGGGAGAACAATGAAAACAAGGATAAGAAATGTAAAATTAAGGTGTTTGACAGACAAGCCAATGTAAGTCAACAATCACAGAGATGACAGGGGAATGGGATATTACTTGTGTGCCTTTCATTCATACAACATTTTGAATGATAAAGGCTGCTGTGTTACAGCCGCTGAGGTAGTAACATGCTTAGGCATTCACGCCTTATCAGTTGTATTTTCCACTATAGTTGCTCAAACGTTGGTTTTGGTGCCGGCGGGGATGGAGAATCGCTGAAATAATAATGGCCATCAAGGGAGCCAAGGCAGCTTGATTCATTTAAGGGTCACATTCTCTGTCCTTAAGGTTCCTTCAGGTGTTTTGTTTAGTTCTCTAGGTGATTCAGGATGGAGGAAAAATCCAAGGAAGTTAATTATGCAGTTGTACAGGTCAGGAGGTAGTGCCACAACTGAAATAAGTAACATTGATTCTACTGGACTAGGTGAAAGGTTTCAGCTCGTTGGTCAAAGGGCTGTCTATGGACAAGTTGACCTCTTTCAATGCACTCTTTGTATCCAAGGATGTCCCTATTGCATTGTATTTGGGGTGAGAGCTGATGAATCCAGTGGAATGTTGAGGGAGTATAGGCATAACTCTGTACTCTACACTAAGTAAGCTTCTCACATTTTGTTTTAAAGGTGTAAATTCATTAGCTCTAATTGGAATTGACTGTCTGTTCTCTCCTTCCAGCTGGCAAAATTCTCTGAGGACACCCTGAGCAGCTACACTGAAGTTGTTTCTTCAAAGGTATAGACTTTGCGTTGCATCAAGCCTCAGCTGCTATCTTTTCATGTGCTTTCTATATCTGTATTCACCTGGTGCAATTAGATTTTTGGTCACTCATTTTTTTGTAATAATGAATGGTCTATCGCGCAAAGCATGTTTTAGAGGGAAGTTGGAGGGTATAAAGTGTAATTTGCTGTTATCTGTCCACTAGTATTGATGATTTTACTTTTATTTTCAGTATAATTACACAGTCTAGCTTGAGAATCTTCTGCAATGAATTTCCTTGACTATATTGCAATTACTTTGAATATAATTAGATGCCACTGTTAACTGTTTTATTCTTTTGAGCTGTTATTTATGTCCTTTCAGGCAAGTTGCAAGCAGCTGCCTGGAAAGGGGAGCACCACTTTTGAGTTCTTTTGAAAAAATTGTCCTGGCAATGTGACATTGTGACATCGTGACATCCAGTAATAAACATGGGGTTTGGTTTCCTACTTAATGTAGGCTGATAAGCAGAATATAGGTTTGTGTACCAGTGAGACTGCCACCAGCAGAGGCCTTAGGCAAAGGATTGTGAAATAGTGCGAATGGTTATGTAGATAAAGTGACATCAAAACATTGTTTTTAAGTAAACTTTGTAATGGAAATATTATTGCACCACCTGCATGCACAGTTGGGCTCATCTTTTACTTGTACAGTTCATCACATTGGAACTTCTTGGTTTTGTGTCTGTTAAAATGGGCAAGAAATTAGTTCTGTATTAGTACATCTTCCTAGACAATCAAGGAATCATACCATGAAGCACAAATGATATTTCTCCTGATGTGTCTTTATTCCTTCCCTGAAAGGGAATTGTCTCAAAGGAGGAGGGATTTGGGAATAACGAAATGCACCATTTTTATTCCAACAGTGTCCTCAACAGAGTAATGATGCATTTGTGCCAGTTGGGTTTATAAAAACTTCTCTGTTGTTTTATCAAATGAAAACCGAATGGTTTCTTCTGAAACTATGCATTCTCTTGAGCAAATAACATAGCCCCCACCAATTACACTGTTCTCACTTAATCCTTAACAGTTACCTATGTTGGGCAGACCACTGACCAATACCATAAACATCAATTACAGAGTTATGGCTTGAGCCCTATCAAATGGGTCACACATTTTGGGTAGTTCAGTAAGCTGTTCGCAGTGTGATTCATAGTCTAATCAATGTTCCCTATGAGCTTTGCAGCCACACAGCCACTCAGAGCATCTGCATGCTTCAGTTGGCATATGAACAAATTTGTCCCAAAAGCCCCTGCCGCGCACAGACCTTGGGGGGTCCAAGCAGCAGCAGGAAAAATTAAAGAGAACGTAGTGCTTGATGCTAATTAAATGCAGATAAGTAGTTTCCCTGTGCAATGAATACAGTAACCAACATCTGAAATGGGAAGTTACTGGGATTTTGTGCTACTGTTTGCTCCACATTTGGGATTACTAGTGCTTTCTCCGACCCCATCCCATTTCACATTTTAAGAAATATAGTTGACCGGTTTATGATGCACTGTCCGCTGGTACAATGGTCCCTCAGTGCCATTGAAATAACTTGTCGTAAAGCTCAGGGACCAAGTATCTGAAAGTGATTATTGCTCACATTCAGATTTTGACAGATATGCTATTCACTGGGTACAGGAGCAAATTGTCAGTACAAATGTGCCTGCTGTAATTCTCGCGGGCTGTACCAGCTGCATTGATGTAAATGTAATCTTTTACCGTCAGATTTAGTAATGCCTGCCAGCCAGCTTCCTGTTATCCATTATATCTGTACTAATCCAGCTCCCTGGTCATATCAGATTCTCTATCTACCACCAACCAACAGTGTCAAGGAGATCAGTATTCACGTTTTCATATTACACTATTGGCCCAGGAATTTTGCTGCTAATTTTGCTTTAACTATTAGGCTCTGACTTATCCAAGCCAGCTGTCACTTCAATTTGTCATAATGTTTGACTGTTTACAAAAAATTGACTAAAAGATTAAGACCAAAACAGCTAGATAAAGATAATTTAATGTGACACCTGGCTAGCTGTCCTGATGCCTTAGATTGCATAGCTTTTCTGCATTTAATGCAGAATGTAGTAGAAAAATATTAAAGATGCCAAGTTCTGAATCTTCATTATTCAACTTCCTATTTCACCATGTTTTGAGTTTGTATATGTGGATATAATCAGCAGGGCCTGTGTTTATGGCCCATCCCTTATTAACTTTGAACTGATTGGTTGCTGATCATTTTCAAGGGCAGCTAAGAGTCAACCATATAGCTATAGGTCTGGATTAAATGTAGTCCAGACCAGGTAAGGGCAGCAGATTTCTTTCTCTAAAGAACGTTAGTCAACCAGATGCATATTAATGACAATAGACCATTGTTACATCATTGTCATTGTACTAGCTTTTAATTCCATTTTTCTTACTGAATTCAAATTTGATCATCCAAAGTGAGATTCAAACCTTTATCCCCAGAATGTTAATGTACGACGCCAGATTACTAATCCAGTGGCATTACTGCTATGCTCGTACTTCACTGAGTCAAAGAATCAAGCCATTTTGTATTTTATGCTTTGCAGATGTAAACTCAAGGCTGGTGTCAAGGATCTCTTGTTTCCTGAAACAGCAAGAAAGAACGTTCTAATTCTTAGTGGCATTGCTGCCCTGGGGACGCTGTTGGTGGGAATTCTGTACTAGTTTTGTGAGGCTGGGGTTTTCTAAAGGAGAGCTGTGAATTTTGAGTGCTAGCATGAGCTGAGGGGAAAGAAAGACCAGTGTCCTCCCAAATTGAGGGAGAGGAAGAAGGTGCGAGAGTGAACTAAAAGAGAAGATGTCTGTATGAAGACAAGGGGAAGAAGGTATCAGGGTGAACTGGAGAATAGAGATGGAACATCAGGAACAACAAGCAAAGTATGATCTAAATGAGGTTAAAATAGATGAGGCCAACATGAACTGTTTAACATAAACCAACAGCTAGTTATTTTCTAAGAGGTAATTGGGTGCAATAATTGTATGTAAAGTGTTTAGCATGAACCAGAACATGCTGTACTTATACTTTTTTAAAGCTGTCTGCAGCCCTGCCTCCTCCCCCTCTCTCCATTCTGCAGTATTAGTCTGTAATTTGGTAAGTTTTGTTTTTCCCTGACAGGAAATGATGTTATGCATCTGGAGTCACTTTCTGTCTCTGCTGCGAGGAAGGTCCCTTACCCTTTGCTACACTTCCAGTCTGCTTCAGAACCTGGGTTCTGTTACAGTGAGTATTTGAAAAAGGCTTTACTTTGTGTACTTGGTAGCAACTAATTATCATGAGCTTTCTCAAGCCAGATGTGTGAAGTGCGCAAATGTTTCTAATCTGTGAAAATCAGCTTTGCGTATTGTTTTAATGGTGGTGTTTGTCAAAATATTACTGCTGAGGAGCCAACAGGGAGAGTTGACGCTTGATACTCCAGATTCAGTGAAAGACTGCTCTGTGAACACCAACTTTTTTGTAAGAGATTAAACATTTAACTGGCTCCAGGAAAATCAGTTTTCAGATTGCCTTAATCTAGGATTGAATGCAGTTTCACGCCTCATGCAAAGGTAAAATATTGTGGTCACACTGGAAAGCTAGCTCATTCCTGGCCCTATGAATGTTGCATGGCCTTCCTTGATGTTGATCTGGCCCTGGTGCTAACTGATCTTTATCTAGGAGCCATTCTGTCCCAATTGTTAAGCTAATTGGCCTGTAATTTCCTGTTTTCTTTCTCCCTCCTTGAACTCTCATATTTCTTGCTTATCGGTCTGATGGAACATTTCCAGATTTGAATGAATTTTGGAAAATTAGCATCGACGCATCTACTATCTACTTAGCTATTTCTTTTATGACCTTAGTGAAGTCCATCAGGACTTGGAGACTTGTCAGCATGCAGCTCCATCAGTTTGTTCAGAGCAACTTTGCTGGTGATTGTAATTTCACCAAGTTCTCCTCTTCCTTCACCTTCCTGATTGACAAGTTACAGCCTGTATCCTAGTTCCTTTAAAAACTTCGGCTAGCAAAATTCTTTCCGTTTTCAAGTTTGAAATTATTAATTGACCTAGACGCTGCTATTTGTAGGAAAGAATTCTGTACTTTACCCATCAAAAGGATGTGTTTCTCCAACTTCTCTCCTGATTGGCCTAGCTGTATATTTAAGCTTATGTCCCCATCTACTAGATTTATCCCAGAAGAGGGAAAATGCTTCTGTTTATAATAAGACCATAACTTTTAGGAGCAGAAGTCGGCCACTTAGCCCATTGAGTCTGCCCTGCCATTCAATGAGTTTGTGGTTGATCTGATAATCCCCAACTCCTCCTTCCTGCTTTTTCCTCATAACCCTTTGAAAATCCATTTGAAAGTTACACCCTAGCCTTCCCTGTTCAAAGTTTCAAGCTCATGATCTGGAATATTGGCTTGCCTCAGCTTGCTCAGCATTGGCTGTTACTGAACTTAAATCGTTGAGCCTGTATTTAGCATATATACGTTTATCTTGTCATTCTATTTGTTTAGGTACTTTGCTGTGTGGACAAGCAAGGGATACTGTCGTGGCCCAATCCCAGTCCAGAAACAGTTCTGTTTTTCAGTGGACGTGTGGAACCACCCCATGACAGCCTAGAGGACCTGAAAGATGATTTGTCCATGAGGTCTTTTCTTCATCCAGAGATGGAAGAGGAGAAGGATGAGGTGAGGATCTAACTTATTCTGTAATCTATCTTTTAAAATCTGCCGCAGTTAATAGTTTAGTGCAGTACGCTGTGCTTTGAGATAGAAATGGGTTGTCATATATACTGTATGGTCCTATATGTAGTGCATGTATTTGTCAATATTGTTTGCTCCTTCTGTTTTGGTCCTTTTACCCCCTTTCTCACCAAACACAGCTGACTTCTGCTGGAGTACAGTTTCATAGACAGTGATCACCGTCCAGTTGGTCATTTACCATATGCAGTTGTTGGGAGATGATCTCATCATGCTGAACGTGACCCTGAGTCAGATCCTGACTTTATCTGGTGTCATGCATGAAGTCTCCAAGATGGCAATTGACCATGCGTAATCATATTTCCTGTCACCAGCCCAGAGGAGCAAAGGGAACATAAGAGCCCCTGTCTTTCCAACCAAAAAAACCTACAGTTATTACTGCTGCAACTGAAATAAGTAACTCCCCATATTCTGATCAAATTCTGGACATAAAAATCTAGGTGATTGATTGGGATGGGCTCCAGTTCATCATAGCAATACGCAAATCAGTGCTCATAACCATGGGAATATATTCGTTGAATAATGTACTCTCCTGCATGATTCTATGATACTGTTTTTAAGGAACATTAACTTTTTGACCCATGTATTTGAATAATGTCTAGCCCAGGGAGGCTGATGCTCTGTTGCCCACCACTGGTCTGGAGTTTGTACACGTCACCAATGAAATGGGACAGGACAAAGAAGAGAAGACTGAAAGTACTCCACGTTTGAGGAAACGCAGTGAGAATCGACGTTGCAAGCACCTGTCAGGTTCCAATGTCAGCTTCAGCAAAGACACAGAAGGAGGGGAGGATGATGTGACACAGGTAATGACTAGATAAGCAGCTGTTATGTGTGAAAGGCCTGTTGGCTTGTGGAAAAAGGTTTGTTGACAAACAAGTGCTGGATGTGTTTTGGCAATGGCAGTGTAGTGGAAAGGTAGTGACGGTGGATGACGAGCAGAAGACATGACTATTGTGAGGGAGCACTGAGTTGATACCAAGCACGGTAGTGCAGTCCATCTCCATTTTTATGATTATTGTGAATTCTGATAATGTCCTCGTAAAAAAATTGGGTTTATGATTAAACTCATCTTTTCTTCTTGCAATGAAGGAAGCTCAGTTATATAAAAATTCTTGGCATTTCTGGCTGACCGAGTATTCATTTGGAGTTCTTTTTACGGTAAGTTGAATATAGGGCAACATTTATTTAAAGCCCCTAGCCAGAGGCATGTTTGTGGTCTATGAATTGCTTATCTTCCTGTTAGTATCATACCTGCTCCCACTGGTACCCCAAGCAGTCAACAGTAGACTTTATAATATTGGGTGGTCTTACAAGGGCAGGAAAGTGGACATGAGTGTCAGATCAGCCATGATCTTGTTGAATAGTGGAACAGACTTGAGGGGCTGATTGGTCTAATCCTGTTCCTATTTCTTATGGTCTCATGGGTTGATGAATCATTCAGGAAACCATGACACACCAAAAGCATGTGTTGAAAGGCCTAAATAAGTTTGATTCTGATTCTGCACTATTTACAGGTGAGTGGTATTGGTGAAGACCTGGGCCTGGAAGCAGAGGATTACATCTGTGATTACCACTTAGAAATGCTGAGCCTGTCACAAGACCAGCAGAACCCGGCTAGTATTCAGTTTGATGACTCAAACTGGCAATTTCACATCTCCTCACTGAAACCACTGGGCCTCAATATCCTCCTCAACCTGTGCTACTCCACTGTCACTGAGCAGATGTGCCGCTTCTCCGACCACCTATCCAATATCGCCCTGCAGGAAACATCCGGTGCAGCCATGCCCATTCACATTCCTTGGGGACTCTGTGAATTAGCCAGACTCATAGGTACGTGGCTATTCCAGTCTTTCCAATTCAACTTGTGCTAATTTGATCATTTAAAGATATGTAACGTCTGAGCCAAACCATAAATGTGATATGAGTTTTCGGATCTTAGTTGTCCTGTTAGGTGCCAGATTTAGCTTAGTTTTTTTTATTGTTGGATGTTATGAAGGAAATGTCTAGTATTAATATAAAAATAAGAGCAGAAGTAGACCGTTCGGTCCGTTGAGCCTGCACTGCCATTCAGTAAGATCATGGCTGATCTATCTGTGTTTGATTTCCAATTTCCCATGTACCCCCAATAACCCTAGACTTCTCTGCCTAACAAGAATCTGTCTAGCGCTCTCTCAAAAATATTCAATGACCCAGCATCCACATTGCGTTCCAAGGCAATGTGTTCCAAAGTGACAAAACCTTAACTTTGACAAAACATTTCTTCTCATCTCTGTCCTGAAGGAGCCACCCCTAATTTTAAACAGTTCCCCACATTTGGACTGACTCACAAGGAAACATTCTTTCCATATCCACCTTGTCAAGATTGTTCTGGATCTTGTACTCTTCAATCAAGTCACCTGGTACTTTCAAATTCCAACAGAAACAAGTCCAGCTTGTCCAGCGTTTCCTTATAAGACAACCTGCTCATTCTAGGTATCAATCTAGTAAACCTCTGAACCACCTCTGGGCATTTATATCCGTCCTTAAACAAGCCCAAACTTGCACAAAGTATTTGAGATGTAGTCTCACCAGTGCCCTGAATAACTGAAATATTACATCCTTAGTTTTCCATTCAATTGCAGTCCTGATAAAGTATAGCATCCCATTAGCTGCCTTAGTTTCATGCTATATCTGATTGCCAACTTTTTGTGATTTGTGGACTAGAATACCGAGATCCATCTGCACCTTGGAAGTCTGCAATCATTCTGTAATTAAGTAATAATTTTTTTCTAATTCTTTTGTCAAAGTGACCATTGATTTGCCAGATTTTTTTTCCAACTCTGACAACTTCTGTGTCTTCCCAATGTATTTTCCTATCTTGCTGTCAACTGTGAATTTAGTTACCATGCCTTTACTCCCCTCGTATAAGTCGTTGATGGAAATTGTAAAAAGTTGAGGCCCCTGTGCACACCCCGGCAGGACTCCACTTATAACATCCTGCCAATGAGACAAAGACCCATTGTTGCCTACTGTGTTTTCTGCCTTCCAGCAGCCAGTCTTCTATCCATGCCGATATGTTACCTCCTGCACTTTAGCTTTTCTTTTCCATCATAACCTTTGACATGGCTCCTTATGAAATGCCTTCTGGAAATTCAGCAGAGAAAGGTTATATTTGCTGATTTCCTTTCCTGAATCGAGAAAATTTTGGAAAATTAACACCAACATATCTGGAGATAGTAAGAATTGCCAATGCTGGAGTCTGAGATAATACAGTGTGAAGCTGGAGGAGCACAGCAGGCCAGGCAGCATCAGAGGAGCAAGAAAGCTGATGTTTCTTCTGAAGAAGGGTCCCGACCCGAAACATCAGCTTTCCTGCTCCTCTGATGCTGCCTGGCCTGTTGTGTTCCTGCAGCTCCATACTGTGTTATCACCAATGTATCTACCTCATTAGCCACCTCTCTTAAAACCTTAACACGAAGCCCACCTGGACCCAGAGACTTGCCAGCTCACATTTCCAGTTTGCTTCATTCTACTTTCCTTGTGATAGTAATTTTGCTGAGTTCCCCTTCCATCAGCTGATTGCCAGCTATTTCTGGAATATTTTTTGTGCACTTTATAATAAAAACAAAAGCAAAACATCTGTTCACTTCATCTGCCATTTCCTCACTATCTTACATTAACTTACCATTCTTGCTGTCCAGAAAACAATACTCACTTTACTTCAGGCCAGTCAACCCGAAATGTTAACTCTGATTTCTCTCCACAGATGCTGCTAGACCTGCTGAGCTTTTCCAGCAATTTCTGTTTTTGTTTCTGACTTTACTCTTTTCCTTTTTAAATACCTGTGGCGAATCTTGTGACCTGCTTTTACATCTCTAGAAAGAATTCTATCATACTCTGATTTCTTCCTCTTAACCTTTTAGATGTTTTCTATTGTTCTTTATATTCTGACTAATCATCTAACCTGTCACTCATCTTCGTGCTGCTATATACTTTTTCTCCTTAAGGTTAGAGAAATCATCAAACTTAATTAACCAGGGATGGTGGGTCCTGATTGAATGAGAAGCAAAAGGTTTCTTTTCATCCACAAAGCTGATTGAATTGGTGTGTAATTGAAAGCTCCAATTGGGTCCAGCAGTTTAGATTCAAATATTCTTTACTGCCAGGTATTTGACAGGTGCAGTGGGAAACAATTCATGTAAAAATGTTAATTGGGAGGTGAAACAGGCTTCTGTTTAATGGAGAAGATGCTACACAACCTTATTAGCATTACAATATAGTTGTACAGATGAATAATTATCTGAAAAGTTCCAGTCCCAAAACATTTTTCCTACTCATTCAAGGTATTTGTTGACCTATTGTGAAATATAAACATCTTCCCGAAAGAAATAACTTGGATTAGCAGGAGCAAGTTACTGCAGTTGCTGGAAATCACAGCGGGCCAGGCAGCATCCGTGTAGAGAGAGCAAACTAACATTTAGAGTCTAGATGACTGTGATGAAGAGTCATCTAGCCTACATGTTTGCTTGCTCTCTCTCCACGTATGCTGCCTGAAACACTGTGATCTCCAGCACTTTTTTTTTGTTTTCAATCATTTGGATTAGTCATTCAACTCGGTTGGGGGGGGTGGTGGGAAGGGTGTGGGAATGCAACTTTTGCTGCTGTAGCTCGATCTTAAGGTGTGGATGTCATTACTGCCAGTGTCTTACAAATTAACTTGTTGCAGACTGCTCAGTAAAGATAGGTACAGGATGTCCTCACTTAAAGACACGGTTGCGTTCCTGAAAGTCTAAATTTAAGTGAAAAGACTTTAACTGAAGCATTGATCTCCCATTGTTAAACCTAGAAATAGGTTCCATATGACCTTCCATAGCAGAGACACAATTAAAATAATATGCCAATACCCTTATGCCTACCATCTGTAATTGACATAGCGAAACTCTGACATTAATAAATGAGATAACTTAAAATAAATTTTAAAATATAAGCAATTTAATATTCTACTTACAATATCTTCTGTGGTGGACCCTCAGTGAAATAAGGGGGTGCCCCTTAACCCCACCCAGGGTCTGCTCCAGTGGAACCTTTGCTCATTGATTTTTGGTCTACCTCATATTGAAGCCCTCACTTGTTCCTGGGCACATTATGTCTGGGAGCCCTTTGTTTCTGGCTGCCACATCTAGGCTCTGTTCAGTTGGGGGAAGTTCTTTTTTTGACTATCTGGGGTGCCTTGGCCTTCCTTCCCACCCCACACGAAGCAACTGGAACAAACTAAGAACAAAACTCTCAGTGCTGAACGAGATTTCCAGTCCCAATAATCTAATGATGTTTAAGCAAAGTAACTAAAAGATTAGATGTTAAAGGTGGATTCTCTGACTTTAAACGGTCAGATGGCTACTGTGTCAGACAGAACGTGGATTTCAGTCATGATTTCTAAACTTCAGGCCTTCCCAGAGTCCGTTCCAGCGAGTGGACAAGTTTAAGTGATATTATGAGTCATTACTCTGGGTAATTAAGTGAGAAGGGAACCCCATGATCATTATTTTTATTAATTTACAGGATCTATGTCCACTGGTGAAGTCATCATTTGTTGTCCATACATCTGTTGGCCTTAAAAAGATGCCTCAAAAACAACCAAGTGGCTTGCTTAGGTTATATTAAAGAGTAATTAAAAGTACACCATTGGGAAAATCCTTCCTGCATTTACCCTGTGTAGCTCTGTTGGAATTTTATAGGCTTCCATGAGATACCCCGCTCATTCTTCTAAACTTCAGTGAATAATAGTTCTAACCAATCCAATCTGTCTCCATACGTCAGTCCTGCCATCTGTCCATTCCATGAGTATCCTGCCTGAAGGCAGAATGTTGGCTCATTTTCTTAATGATGCTTCATCCTCAGCAGTTTTTCTTGGCAGTTCTTTGTCAGTACTAGTTTGCTCCTACTCTTGGGGGAGCAGTAGGAGGAGGCTGATCCCAAATCCAGTTCTTTTAGAATATGAATTGAACCTGAGTTGTTAACATTGTTCTGAACTACACGTTAGCCACTGAGCTAACCAACCAATGCCATTGCTGATACTAACATTATATTTCACATTTAATTAACTGAATTAAATTTCCCAGCTGTTTTGGTGGAATTTGAGCTCCCATCTCCAAAGCATTAGTTCAAGTCTCTGAGTTTGAGTACTTAGCATGACAATATTGAGGCACTTGCTAATTTTTCTCCTACCTACTGTGCGCTGTAGTCAATGTTATACTTTAAACCAAAGTAACAGTAGGAATCAAATGATTTTAGTTATTCATTCTTAAAATTAATAAGAGGGGCCACGGTCCGACAGTGTAGAACATTAACAGACTTAAAAAAATACCCATGAGGCAAGGGGACAAGTTCCATCATTCTGAGAAAAAGCAGGGAAGAAGCAATATTGCTGTTTAAAATTGATGTATTTTATTTTGTAGGCTTTACTCCTGGAGCCAAAGAGCTGTTCAAGCAAGAGAATCATCTGACCATGTACCAACTTCCAACAGCAGAAATGGTAAAGGAGCCAGTGCCGCAGAGACTGTTGTATGTAACCAAGAGGCGACCGCCACTCAGTCACATGATCAGCCTTTTTGTGAGAGATACATTGACCAGTGAGTGTTATTTTGGATGCATTTTGCTTCTGAAAGCAAGAGCAAACTTGAACTTCCATTAGTATCCAATGCCTGTGAAGTGATTTGCTCACACCTCACTTTCATAATTAGCAATGTAATGATCGCCGTACGTTTTGTTATTGGTTGAGTGATAATATTGATCAAGAACATGAGGGGAAAACTGCCCTGCTTTTCTTTGAATTAATGCTTATAAAATGTTTTAAGTCTATTTGAGAGTCTTTGGTATAACATCGCACTAGGAACATAATATGCCTGACAGTGCAGCATTCCTTAATATTGCATTGGAATGCTGCTTGGAACCTACAAACTGCTGGCTGAGATGAGTTTGATACCACTGACCTATGGCTAACAATGTTCTGTGAAAAATTGTAATAAATGTTATTTAAGATCATTCTTTGAGGTTGCTCTAAAACTGTTTAGCTCGGCAAGGTCCACATGTATTTGTTTGCTTCTGTTGTTCATGCTAACTATTATTGAGTTGTGCATCTTGCCAAGTTGGGAAAGGAATGTACAGCTGTGGTAAGCATTTCTGAAATCAAATCAAGTGAAATTTTAATGTGTAACTTGACTTAAATAAATCATCCTCAATCCATAATTAAAACCAGGAATGGTTGAACCTGTGAAGAGAAAATTGATGTCTCAACTTAAAACTAATCAATATTAAGAACTAAACAGTAATGGCTTCATGCCCCTTGTCTCATGAATGAATTCCCATTTTTAAATTTTTGTGATTATAGTACAAGGATTGGCTAAAAAGGGAGAATGAATTAATGGTTTAAAAATTTTAATTTTTCTTAATGAACTCATAATGCAATCATAAATGTAAACGGACAAAGAAACATAAGAACATAAAAACATAATAACGAGGAGCAGGAGTAGGCCATCGGGCCCCTCGAGCCTGCCCTGCCATTTAATAAGATCATGGCTGATCTTTTTGAGACTCAGCTCCACTTACCCGCCCACTCACCATAACCCTTAATTCCTTTACTGTTCAAAAAGTTATCTAGCCTTGCCTTAAAAACATTCAGCGAGGTAGCTTCGACCGCTTCACTGGGCAGAGAATTCCGCAGATTCACAACCCTTTGGGTGAAGAAGTTCCTCCTGACCTACATCTACTTCCTCAGTCCTACATTTTATTTCGAGGCGATGCCCTCTAGTCCTAGTTTCACCTGCTAGTGGAAACAACCTCCCTGCCTCCACCTTATCTATTCCCTTCATAATCTTATATGTTTCTATAAGATCTCCCCTCATTCTTCTGAATTCCAATGAGTATAATCCCAGTCTACTCAGTCTCTCCTCATAATCCAACCCTCTCAACTCTGGAATCAACCGAGTGAATCTCCTCTGCACCCCCTCCAGTGCTAGTATATCTCTTCTCAAGTAAGGAGACCAAAACTGCACACAATATTCCAGGTGTGGCCTCACCAGGACCCTATACAGCTGCAGCATAGCCTCCCTGTTTTTAAACTCCATCCCTCTAGCAATGGCAGACAAAATTCCATTTGCCTTTTTAATTACCTGCTGCACCTGCAATCCTACTTTTAGCGATTCATGCACAAGGACACCCAAGTCCCTTTGCACAGCAGTGTGCTGCAATTTTTTACCATTTAAAACATAGTCCATTTTCCTGTTATTCCTACCAAAATGGATGACATCTATTTAGTGGATGTCTGGTGTGTCACTGTATTAAAACCTAGTCACTTTCTTTCCATCTCCCATAAGATTGACTCCACATAATGGTTAAGGTTGTGGCCAAACTAGCATGTGGTTTAATTCAAATGATTGGGAAATATTTTGTTTTTCTCTCTATTCCTGCTTGTTTAATGGAAGGGAGCGGTGTCAATTATGGCTTCCTAAGCAAGGATCAGTTCATGTGTTAGGCCTCTCCTTTGATACATCCTTCGCTGATTACACAGGATCCATTCTACTACCAAGGGAACGTCGTAAAACTCATCAGCTTCATTGTGATTCGAGGAGACATTGCTCATGTCCTATTGATATCCATTGGAACTGTAGTGTGTCCATTGAGTGCATATGGCGCCAACTGTTTTTAGTAGTAGTCTGGATATCAAGTGCAGTATCAGGATCTCAGTTTAAATCTATATAATTCTATCAGATTTAGATTTTGATTAAATTGGAGTGAACGCAATAACAAAGACACTGCATGCTGGAATATAGAACAACCTTCACAATGCAATGTGCCATCCGCCTCTGGATGATGCTGATTGTACAACAATTTCTTTGAGAATATTAAAAAGAAAAAAAATGAAGGTTTGGAAGAGTTTTGCCCAATGCTCCCTACATTTTTATTTGCGTTCACAGATAGTGTACAGATGCTGTCTCATGGCACAGCTGACCTCATCTTGGAGGCCTGCACAGATTTTTGGGATGGAACAGATATTTATCCACTCTCTGGTTCTGACAGGTTTGTTCTTTCCAATTACTTTGTGTACTGCTTTAAACACCATCTGTCTCTAATTGTACGTGGATTTAATCCCATGTAAACCATCAATTAGGTGGGAATTTTAGGAGCAGTGAAAAGTCCAATAAACTCATTCTTTTCAATTAGACCTAGACCAGCCTTCCCCTCTCAATACTTCTCTTTAAATCCCATAAGCTTATTGTGTCCCCTTCAGAAGTAACAAGGAAACAGAAGAAAAACAGTGGGTTAGTAGCAGATTTATGGGGCTTGTTAGAAACCCAATTAATGGCTTGCCTCCCAATCAGAGGAAACTGCACTATTGTGTCAAAAAGCACACCTAAGTAATTCATTCTTCTAAAACTTGTGGGGAAATTTCTTGAAATGAAAGAAGTTGTCTTTATATAGCGAGTTTCACATCGTCAGACCATTTCAGCACTCTGCAAAGCAATGAATCACTATTACAGTTTGGGCACTATTATTTAGGCAGACAGATATGACGTGGTACTGTGTAATTGCATGTCCTTTTATTGTACCAGTATCCCTTTTACAGCTATTAGTTGAAATATCTTACTTTAAAGAAATTTTCTGCATTAGAAACTTAGTGAAGTATAGATTCTCAATGCTGCTAACCAGGTTTACTGAAACTAGGCAACTCATTAGGATTGAAAGCCCTACCTATGTTGAATTTTAGTTAATTGGCTAACTAGTTGAAATTTCTAGAAACAAAAGCTGTTGAATATTGATTTTTTTTTTAAGACCATGATACATTTCAGCCTAAGTATACATTTTGTCAGTCATATAGATGTCTTTTTACTGATCTCATTTTATTGGTGCTATAGGAAAAAAGTGCTCGATTTTTACCAACGTGCCTGTCTGTCTGGCTACTGCTCGGCTTTTGCCTATAAACCAATGCACTGCACCCTGTCTTCGGAACTGAATAGCAAATGCATTGAATTGGTCCAGGTGCCAGGTCAAAATGCCATCTTCACTTCCTATGATTTACCGGGGACTACGCCCATTAAACATGGTAGCAGGCGGAACAGCTGGAGCTCTGATGGTACTTGTCATTTTCAAGAATTTATTCAGTCATGCTGTTTGCATTTGTTTCTTCTGTCTGTGATGTGTGCTTTCCCTTCTTTTACCTACTTTCCTGACTTCTAAATAGATACAATTCCACAGGCTGCTCAACCCTTCAGAATGATTTCTGCAAGACACTGTTCTTCATTTGCCAGTGTATTCAGTGCATCATGGTGCAATTAATTTGTGCAGAATGCCTTTCTCTTTTCATATGCCAAATAATCCAGATCATTACCAAATACAGCCAAGCTGAAGGGCAGCCTGCACAGATGCCCCAGAATATCTGGCCACTCAGCTTTTCACTAAAGCAACATGCCTCCGAATTCAGACACACTAATAGAGAATCAGCTGTGTCTGAAGTGCTCTGAAGTGTGCACTTTTCAATTAACATTATTTCCCTGTGGGTACTAAACCATCTGAAACAAATGGCTTAAAACTAACTTTAAATGATGACCAAAATATAGAAATCTAGTCTAGCACTGTTGGTTTATCAATTCATGGAAAGTGTGCATTGCTGTCGGGGCCAGCATTTGTTGCCTATCTCTGGTTGGCTTTGAGAATGTGCCAGGGAGCCTCCACTTGAATTTGGTTTGATTTGATTTATTATTGTCACATGTACTGAGATAGTGAAAAATATTGTTTTGCATACTGACTAGACAGATCTTACCTTACATGAGTACATCAGGGTAATAGAACAGAACGCAAAGTATAGTATTACAGCGACAGAGAAGGCACAGAGAAAGATCAGTTCTGTAGAGGTCCGTTCATAATTCTGGTACCAGCAGGGAAGAAGCTGTTCTTAAATCTGTTGGCACATTCTGCCTGATCGAAGAGAGCATAACCAGGGTGGGAGAGGTTTTGATGATGTTGGTTGCTTTCCTGAGGCAAAAGTTCCAGAGTTTTGCCTTGTATGAAGGAATAACAACATATATTTCCAAGATGGGTGAAATTTAACTTGATTGGGAAGTTGGTGGTGTTCCCATGTGTCTGTTGTTCGTTTTTCTGGATGGTAGAGATTGATTTGAAAGGTGCTTCAAAGAAGCCTTGGCCCACACATCACAGTGTGGTGGTGGTGGCAGGAGTGAAAGCACATGAGGGTGTGGATGCCAGTCAAATAGACTGCTTTGTCTTGGATTATGTCAAACTTTGGATGTTGCTGGGGCTGCACTCATCCAGGCAAGTGGAGAATGTCTCATCAAACTCCTGACTAGTGCCTTGTAGATGGTGGACAGGCTTTGTGGAGTCAGGTGGTGATGCCCTCATTGTAGAATATCCAGCTTCAGGCTTGCTCACTTATCACCGTTATTCATGTGGTTGGTCTACCTGAGGCAGGTAGACACTCTGTGGAGATGGTCATTAGCTTGCATTTGTGTGATGCAACTGTCACTTGTAGTGCCCCACACTCTGAGAAGAAGTTTTTAAGAACTTACTGCACAAAGCACTATGGAGCACTGCATTAAACTACCATTTGTTGGAGATGTAATTTTCTGTTTCAAGTTGCTGACTCCTCGGTAGATGGACTGGGTGCAGCCTGGCAGTACTGTCCCATGTTGGGAAGGATACTATGGTACCAGTCAATACAAAAGGGGACCATTTGGCACATTGTGTGTCTTTGAAAGAGCTATTTAATTAGGTGCGTAACCCTGAAAAGTCATTAAGTTCCTTTTTGGAAGTTACTTTTGAATCGAGTTCCTCCATCTTTTTTCATGGCAATACATCACCTCGTTCCTTCCTTCTTGCCGCCTCTTATCCAACTACGCCCACTCTCAACCTAGAAGGGTATCAGCATCTTTTGTTGCATTCAAGATGATATGATTATAAATTATTCATATGTGTTTGTGTAAACCTTAATTTTACTTAGCAAAACTGTTGGATTGTTTCAGAAGGGATAGTAGAAGTGATGGAGAAGGAAGACTGCATCCAAGCTTTGAGTGGACAGATCTTCATAGGAATGGTCTCCTCCCAGTATCAGGCTCGGTCTGACATAGTCCGGCTAATCGATGGGCTTGTCAATGCATGCATCAGGTTCGTCTACTTCTCCCTGGAAGATGAGTTAAAAAGCAAGGTACTGTCTACACTTTTGGTTTCTGCTCTTTTAACCAAAAGACTATGGTATCTATATTTGAGTGCAGTGTGGTATTCAAGCCTGTAGTGAAAGCAGATCAGTGGCAGTTTTATTAATGGTGTTTCTTGCATACATTACAGCAAGATATTTGCACGCTTGCAGGAGATAAATGCGTGAATCTGTATCAGCTGGTTGCAGTCTCTCCCCAGCTTACGCCACGGTGGCAGTTTAATGAATATTCACACGGCTGGTTCCTGGAATGAAGGATTTGTCATATGAGGAAAGGTTAAGTGGCTTGGGTCTACACCTCATGAGTTTTGGAAAAATGAGAGGTGATCTTATTGAAACATACATGGTTCTGATGGGGCTTGACAGGGCAGATACTGCAAGGATGAGGAAATCTAGGACTGGGTGTTGGTGGGGGCACAGTTTCAAAATAAGGGCTCTTCCATTTACATCAGATGTGGAATTTCTTCTTTGAGGGTTATTAGTGCTTAGAATTTCCTTCCCCAGAGAACATTGGAGGATGGGTCAATGAATACATTCAAGGATGCAACACATTTTTGATTCACTAGAGAGTTCAAGGTTACAGGAAACAGACAAAAGGAATTAAGGCCATACACAATCCTATTGACTGGCACAGCAGGCTCGAGAGACCAAATACTGTATTCCCGTTTCTATTTTTCATGTTGTAATAATGCGTACTCATTTCATGCACCGCAGGATTGAGGTATATGTAAAACTTCATCCAGTATCGACACCAAGACTTCCCAGACCTCGGTATTGCACTGGGGTAACTGAACTATGTAGAATAATAGGTGCATTCAGAAGCTGGGAATTAACTGAGGTTTTCCTGTAGCTCATGTCAGTGAATGCCATTAATGGGTAATGCATGGGCAGCTGAAATATTTTTCACAGAACTATGTATTGGAATAGGAGCTCTGACTTCTGCCTGCTAAATTAAGTGCTGTGAGTCATGACAAAATTGAGAATATTTTGAATAGTTGCAGAGAGCATCTGATCGGGGTATATGTGTTCTAAACTCCAATCGACACTGAAAAGCATGGGAATACAATTGGTGTTCAGTAGTAGCACAGAACACTCTTATGAATCATCCAGTGGTCTGGCTTCATTCTTCTGGAGGTTCTTGGAAGATATGGTCAGACAGGTGTGAAACAAGCTGTGGTTCATCACTGCCTGAGATCAGATTTCAGACCAAGCAATCAGCGTTTATTCATTAGACTCTGAGAATTCAATGTTCATCTCCCTGTATTGTTGAGGCGAGTGAGTAATTTAAGTAAACTTGCAGGTTTGGTACTGATTATTCTGTGCTGACATTAAAGTTAATTATGATGACTATAGCCTGCAGAACTCATTCTGCTTTAAACGTCAAATTCCCTCAAAGCAGAGATGGGAGAGATTTAAAAAGAAAGCTTCATTAAAATTGAATCCTTGACTCCAGGATTTCCATTTGAGTTTCAGGTTTCAAGTGTTTGCATTACTTTAATCTCATTTGAAATTGATTTTGTTCCAAGTGTTAGATACTGTGCATTAGGGATGTGGAACTGAACAGAACTAGACCCGTCATCTCTATATCCTGTTTCAATTGTATCTCAGCTGGTCTTTATTTTAGCACTGTCTTAACTCACCTTGGTTCTGTATCTCTTAATGCCCTTGCCTACAAAGTATCAGTCTTAAGTTTTGAAATTTTCACTTCACCAAGCCTTACTAGCTTTTGTGTTCCAGATGTCTTCTGCTGTTTGTGTAAAGAAATTCACGCTAGCGCTACCCCCGGAATGGCCCAGTTCTAGTTTATAAATTATGACTCCTTGTTCAGGGGTCTCCCAGTGAAGGTTGTTCTCCCTTCATCCTATCAACTCTTTTTTTTATATTCAAGGAATACAAGCCTACTTTGTAAATCTGTCTTCATAATTAACCGTTCCCACTCCAGATTGTTTTGTTTAATCTATGCTACACCCACTGACTTTCCAAGGCCAGTATATCCTTCGTAAGGTACTGTTAATGAACTCAATGTAGTCCTACAGACAGGATCCAACCAGAGCTTTCTATAGCTGTAGGGATAACTTCTATCACTTTGTTTCAGCCCTTTAGAGATTAAGACCAACATTCCACTGGTGTTTTCAATGTGTTTTTCTGAGTCTGTTAACTTTCAGTAATAGTTCACTTACTGCAGAACTGAGCAAATAGCCTAGAGTGATTCTTCAATATAATACTGAGGAAGTGCTACATTGATGGTTGAATTTTTCAGATAAGATGTTAAATGAAGGTCCTGTTTCCTGGCTCAAAAGGAAGATCCCGTGGCACTATTTGGAGAATGTTGGAAGCTGTCCTGGCATCTTGTCCAAACATTGATCTTTCAACCAGCACCATCATAAACAGCTTATCTGCATTATTACCTTATATGTTGCTGCTGTGTGAAATTTGACTGTTGTTTTAAAGCTGTAGTTGACCACTAGTCACAGGATAGGATCAAAATGACCTGTAATGTGATGTGGGATGCAACAAGGATTGGAAAAGCACTATACACATTCATTTTCCTTATTGAAGGTAGTATTAGATTTTTATTTTTACTGCAAAGACCTCTAAATTATATTGCTTGTTTTGTAAGTCGGGGGTGGGAGAAGAAATTCTCTGATATATCTTTTGAAGTATCTTGTAGCAAAATCTTATGCTCTCCTCTCTTCCTTCACACCCTCCACCCCCGCCGCCGCCCCATCCCCAACCCCACCCCAAAGTATCTGCAAGTTAAATAATGCAATTGCACTCGCTCACCTTCTGTTAATAATCGATCCCTTTGGCCCAGGTGTTTGCAGAGAAGATGGGTTTAGAAACAGGATGGAACTGCCATATCTCTCTGCTACCATACAGTGGAGGTCCTGGCTCGGAGATCCCACAGTCCAGCCCAAGCCACACAGGCTCTCTGCGTGATGACCTTCCTCAAGGTAGGGGATGAGCTACTTTTCTGTGTAACAGGTGTAATTCTTGCCCAACACTAAATATCTGTGTTACAGTGGTGCAGATATAGTTGCAGTAAAGTAAGGCAGATGCTTGTGATTTCATAAATTTGTATAGGAGCATTTTAAATTTATGAACTGTTTGTCTTCAATTGGCTGTCAACCATCATCAACTAACTGTTTTTATCATGGGTAATGAAAACAGTGGAGCTGAGTCTGTAAAATATCTAGAATTGAAAACTCGTGTCAGTAAAGGTGACCAAGAAAGTATCATCAATCAACCCTAGCCCTAATCCTAGCTTGTCATTAATTGTTGTAAAATCAATTTAGTTCATTAATGTGCTTTAGGGAAGAAAATCTGCCATTCATACCTTGTCTAGTCTATATGTAATTCCCAGGTCTGCAGTAATGTAATTGACTCTCAACTTTGCTGCATTCAAGACCAATTTGGAATACAATTATCCCATACAAGAATAAAAAATAAATTTGAATTGGTGGGGGATGTGAATTGGTATGTTTCTTTACTTCAGTGTGGGTGACTCGACTGTGTTGTATCCTTTTTGCACCTTATTCAGTATACTTTTTTTAAAAATATATAGATTCAAAGGATGATGCAGAGGGAGCTTTGCTAATGGAAGAAGAAAGACATTCTGATCTCATTAGCTTCCAACCAACAGACAGTGATGTGCCCAGCTTTCTGGAAGATCATAATAGGGTAAGGTGCAAGTTAATGATGGAACTGTTCACATTATCACTAAAGTAACTGTGAAATCTGTGGCCAGTTCTTTTAAGTAAATTACTACTTCAGATTCAAACTGAAACTTTAGGTCACTGCAGCTTCATAGATGTAATGGTAGGAGCAAAGGCAGAGGCTTTACAAGTACATTTAAAAACTGGAACTGTTGCAGCCTAACAACTATCTTATTATTGAAAAGAGTTTCCAATCTCTCGCAAACCCAAATAATTGAGATTGAATATGGAGAAACTGCTTTGAAACAATTTGCACAACACAGATTGAACATTGTGTTCATTTATATAGTGCCTCTAATTTAGTAAAAACATCCCAAGGCGAGCCACATCAAGGCTTTGGACACGTGACCACTGGCTTGGTCAAAGAGGCAAATTGTAAAGGGCCAGGTAAAAGATTAGTCTGCGGGTTTTTTTTTTTTTTGTTTTCTTGTTAAGCTGTTTCTTATTTGTTTTTCTTTGATCCATATTCTTGATTGACGCGGCTAACGGGTTACTCACTCTCAGCCCTCTACTGATGCTGCTAGAGATCTCGTGATGTTGTGGGTGCTTGGGGAAATGTGTTTATTTGCTCTTTGATAGAGGATCTGTTGTTCCCCCGTCCTCTACGGTGGCACCATTTAGTCCACAAGCTGAGAAATTCCAGAGCTCAATGGTCTCAATTTCTATGAAGTATGTTTTGGGTATTTCTAGTATAGCCACCAGACAGCCTTGTAAAATGCATTTGTTTTTTATAAGTGCAATACGATAAATGAGATGTTGCCTTTCTTTTCCTTAGGCTAAACTGCCACGAGGGATCCATCAAGTGCGGCCTCATCTCCAGAATATTGATAATGTGCCTTTACTGGTCCCTTTGTTCACAGACTGCACTCAAGACAGTAAGTGAGCATCACATGTGTGCAGGCATTTAGCCATGGGCAGATAGTGGCATAGTGGTAATGTCATTGGACCAATAATCCAGAAGCTAGGGCTAATGCTGTGCAGGCACAAGTTCAAATGCCATCAAGACAGCTGGGATAAAAATCTGAACTGAAAGCTAATATCATGGAACAATCATCAATTATGAATGTAATTCAGTCATTCCTTCCACAGAGGACAGTCTGCTGTCCTCATTTAGCCTGCACGTGACTCTGGAGCCACAGCAATGTTGGTGATTGAAATGAACAAGCCATTCATTTCAAATGCAATTAGGGATGGACAACACATGCTGGCCTTGCCTGTCACACCCAATCCCATTTTTTAATTTAAAAAACTTGGACATGTGACACTAAAGTTGTACTTGAAGTCAGTAGCTGGAAGACCAAAATTTAAGATTCCATTGACAAAATATTCCAGGGGAGGCAGGGGTACAGAGAATAAGAATTTATTTGTAAAAAAGTTGTTGCAATCTTCACTTCCTGAAAGGCTGGTGAAAGTGAATCCAATAGTAACTTTTAAAAGGGAGTGAACACATATCAGAATAAAATGGCAAGACTCTAAGGAAAGAGAGCATGGCTGTAATGGTCCTTTCAAAAGAGCCAGTACAAACAGAGTGGGCCAAATGGATTCTTCCTGTGCTATCTGATGCTGGCTCTCGAAACCTCATTTGGACCGAGCAGTCAAATCACAGGAATCCAGCAAGGTTGATTTGTCAGTTACAGGGGGGCAAGCAATTCCAGTATTTCAAACTAGTTTTATAGATTCAACCACTGACTTTGGTAGCTACATCCCCAGGCTGCTCATCCAGTCATGTTTTTACAATTCCTCAATTTCAGCAATTCTGTCAATTAAACAGCTTGTTTGCCTGAATTTGTAAGGCAGGAAGCTATGCAAAGTTCAATTTCACTCCAGAGGCCTGGACCAGAGATGGCATACATACAAGGTGTCTCATCCTGGTGATGTTTCACAAGAATCACCTGGCCTCATAATTATCACCCTGGGAATTTATTCATAAATTTCTTGGTTTTGTTGGGTAACCCAGATGAAGGGCCAAAGCCAGCAACACCGGTCTCCAACAAGTTTATGTAGAGTGCGAAATCAGAAACCAAGTTATTAGATCACCCCAAACTTTAACAGATTGTAATTGGTTGGAAAGGGAAAGATTGGGACTAGCTGAGAAGTTCCCTGGCTTGAAGGCCCGGGGAAACAATATGCTGGAGTAAGAGAGAGAGAGAGGGAGCGCAAACAATTTTGATTGCAATGAGGTGAGAAGGCATTCAGTTTTACATAATTCCCTGATAGTGTGTTCTCTTTTATTTTGCAAATGCACTTTCCTATGCAGCAATGTGTGAAATGATGAAGATCATGCAAGAGTACGGGGAGGTGATCTGCTGCCTGGGCAGCTCTGCCAACTTCAGGAATAACTGTCTTTTCCTGCAGAGTGACATTGGGTAAGGGTCCTGTTCTCCACTGTTTGGCACAGTTTATTTACAAAACATTCAGTGCTGCAGGGATTAAGTGCCGTAGACTTGGGTGGATTGTCCAGACCTGGGTACAGGGGTAGGAATCTCTCAGCATTATATGGTCCAGAATTTAAGAAGCAGCGTGACATCAAACACATTCAAGGAGGAAATGTATGGATGCTATGTGCTCAAACAAAATCTTTTTTTTCCATTCGAGCTATTTAGAGAGCAAACAGTGAAGCAGTTGTAGGAGCAAATTACTGCAGATGCTGGAAACTGAACTGAAAACAAAAAATGCTGGAGATCACGGCAGGCCAGGCAGCATCCATGGAGAGAACGACTTTTCATCAGAGCTGAAGTGAAATGTGGAGGGGGTAGCATTTATGCAATAGCAGGACTGTTGAGGGAGAAAGGATGTTGATAGCTCAGATTCCGATCACTTAATATGAACTATCTACATCCTTTCTGCTCCAGCACTCCAATGCCCCCCAATTACATAAATGCTGCCCCCTCTACATTTCACTTCAGCTCTGATGAAAAGTCATCTAGATTTGGACTGTTAGCTTGCTTTCTCTCCATGGATGCTGCCTGACCTGCTGAGATCTCCAGCATTTTTTGTTTTCAGTGAAGCACTTGGTTGGGAAAGGAAACAACTTCAGTGAACTTTATTCAGAGTAATTTCAGAATCTGTTCTCAGTTTGATTTTGTAAAGGAGAGAAGTGACTTCACCAGTTGCCTCACAAGTAAAAAGAAAGCAGAATCATTGGGAGATAGCA